TTGTTGTTGTTGTTGATGATGATGATTGTGTAATCTTCATACAGTATTTTTTTTTGAAAATGTTTTCACCATCTTTATTTCCCTTTCTTTTAAAACAACGATACAAATTACAGGCAAACAACAGTATGTATTTTTTGTTCGAAATCTAATTTTGAATATTTAGATTTATTTGAAGATTTCTAATACCAAAACATGTTTACAATTTATTGACATTTTTTTTAAAAAAAAAAAAGAAAGAAGAATTGACTGTAACTTTCTGAGCTGTGTGACTGTAACTTTCTGAATTGTTGGAATGTAACTTTCCGAGTTGTAAGACTTTAACTTTCTGAGTTGTGAAAGAAGTTCAATAAGATATTATATGCTGCAGAAGACGGAATGTTAAAAAATATAATCCATTTTCAACAGTGAACTGCTGTAATTTATCAGTCGAATAAAACTGATATTGTGTGAGAATAAAAACCGGAAATGCAGAGTACCTCGTAGCAGCACAAGATCGCTATCTGTGATTAGTTTACAAGAAATGTTCGATTAAGTCTTTCAAATTGTAATATCAAAATTCCCACTGCATTGTTCAATTAAAGTTCTTTAAGTATTTATTTAAGCTCATTATTCTTTATTTATTTATTTTAGAGGGCATCATTTTTATGCACCTGTATTTACTGCAAAATTGTTTTGAGTTTCGCACTTTTGAAAAAAAAAAAATCTGTCTCACGATAAAAAAATTCTATCTCCATATTAGTACATATCATTGAATATTTTCTATATTCATCTAATATAGATCTATATTTTTTACAACTGCCTTGTTAGAAAGTGTTTGGTTTTCACACTGATTTGAGTTAGATTTCAAAAAATGAACAGATGTAAACATTTCGAGTAGCCTTTTTAAATAAAGGAATCTAAGTATTGTGCACAAAGGAGGATTGATTTTTTTTTCGTTTTCGGACCTGTTCTCTGCAAAAAAAAGTGGGCCTCAATACGTCAACACTTGGAAACTCTGGAGATAATTACTTCTAATTAATTTTGTCTTGCCAAAGCGTGCAATAAAGGAAGACGGGATAAATTATGAGCAGGAATAACGGACTCAGTTATTGACAGTGGCTAAGCACCTCATATCCCTGCTATATCTGATCCTGGGGGTCAATATCTGCTCAGAGTACCCTAAGTGGCCTATATGGTGTTCTCATTGTCTTGAAAGTAAATACTTTCTGTGGTGAGCCCCTTGCCATTTTGTTTGGTAAAACAAATAAAGTTTTGGATTTGAAACGGAGCTTAAAAGTATTGTAATTAGCATAGCGAAAATGAAATTTTTCCTCTTTCCATTTGGGCAACTTTTTTTCTTAATAGAACATAAATACATTTAAAAGGACAAAGCAAACCAAATGCAAAACAATATATTAAGGAACTTTTCAATGTTTGGAGTCTATCCTTCACTTCGTATGCACTTTGATATAAATCCCAAACTTTATCGTATAATGTAAAAATAAAAAATAGATTTTGATTCTTCAATAAATATACATACATACATACATACATACATATATATATACATACATACATATATATATATATATATATATATATATATATATATATATATATATATATATATATATATATATATATATATATATATATATATATATAATGCACTCACAATTCACTCCCTGATTTTAAAGAACAGAGATGGGGGATATAATTATTGAGTTTACGTTGCACATACTTACCGGTGTGACACATGTCGCTAATAAATAACAAAAGGTAATGTGATATACTTCTAATTGATTTTCTACTCGTTTTTAATTTTCATACACTGATCCGGTAGCACTAGTAGTATACATAACAGTGTTTGTTGAAGCAAGTAGAATGTTTTTTTTTTTTTTTTAAATTACGGTTTTTAAAATGAGTACGTATAATTGCCAACATTTTGCTTTCAAGTCAGGATCCAGTTTCCCTTAGTACATGTATATTAAATGGACAGCTGTACAGGAAAAAATGACTTACTTTAATGTAACTTTGACTACCTATATTTTATTCACGAGGAGGGTTTTTAATTTTTAGAGATATTCTGAATATAACGATTACATTGAGAAAGAAATTTAATTGATTTAAATACGCAAAGTTGAAATTTAATAGGACTGGTATCAAGTGTATGTTTCGGAATAGATTAATTGTCTACGTGTGTTTCTGTGCATAAATTCAGTATGTATTGAAGGTACATGTAGCCATTCTGTACTAAAAATGTTAGCTATCTGCTAATTACGGGTAAGCAGATCTTATGTTTATATTTGATTTTAATTCTCAAATAAATAAATCTTATATCTATAAAGTTCCACTTGCCCTCCAGACGAGGGAGTGTCTATATCTTTGTTCCTTGAGATTTTTTTCTTTTAACACCTGTATGTAAGGTATGTCTGTAGAATTAATTTAAAGTTACAAAAGTAACTGGAAACCTCACGAAACAAAATTTATCAATAGACTTCTCTCCTGGCTTATTGCTTTTCTGTTTTCGATACAACATTACAAGTATGAAGTTTGCAAGCATGTCTATCGTATATCTATCTGAGTATGTTGATCTCGAAGTCTTTTGAAGTGTTCTCGTAATATCAGCATGATAAAAGAATGTGTGGGAATTTTTTGTTTGTCATGAAATGTGCAAACAAAACGGAGGTCTAACTCTGACAAAAACAGTTGACAAATAATCTTCTAATCTTTTTCAAAACAAAAAAGAAGTCATGATAAGGTGTCAGATATTAAACAGATTGTATAGTATAACCATACTTAAGGAATGCAATAGTGTAATACATATTTATTTGCTTCAGCAGAAAATTGATAATTTCTTGGCCTTATCGGAGAAACGAAAATGCTGTATCAAGTTTCACAAAATTACAATTGATTTTTTTTTATCTTAAAATTAATAAGTGAGTGGATGAAATCAAAATCCAGAGAACACTAATTAAAAAGACATGCCGTAAATTGTACACCGATGGCCGTTTTCTATCCTTCAAACAGTTCATGTTACTAGATGGTCGATAACAGACATTTAGATTTAATTTTTTTAATATTTAAAATCTTTATTTTATTATGGTGAATTACAAGCCGTGAAACATCGCCTTCTTTGTCAAAGGGTGTTCAGCTTCGATCAGCCAGAAACTTGATTTAGTTACGTTATAGTAGCTAGAGAGGGTGTTTTGTCACAGCCTTTCACGCTTCCCGTAAGAAGAAAAAGACCTAGGCGGCTTTTAACCCCGATTTCCCATTAAAACGATTTGTTTAGTGGAAACGCACGTTTATATAAAAGCAAATTGTCCGTTAATTAGGTAATATTGACCAATTCTTAAGGGAAGTTAATAGCAGCATTGTTCTGGGGTCCGGGATTAGCGGTGAATCGCACACTGTGTTCTTCGTTGACTTATTGATTTGTCCAGTAAACAAGAAAATACCTTTTTAAAAAATGATTCACAATGGAGGATATTTTACTTATTTCGAATATATATTTGGATAAATTGAAAGCAGAAACGGTAAGGATTTTTTATATGTGTACATTTCTATAAAGGCTTGGTTCATGTCTCTGTGTTAGCTTCCGATTTTCTTTAATTTTTCTTGAAAATGGCCAAGGAATCTTGAGAACTAATAAATGGATATCATTATAGTGGTATTATAATAAATTGTTAGTTTATTCATTTTGTGTTATCGAAAATTACTACTCTTTTTTTTTACCTGTATTGTACATGTATATTGCAACGTATACTTTTCTAAGTATATATACATGAAGTTTGTGCACCAAGTAAGTGGTACATTCATATTGTGCAAAAATTCATTTCATTTTGCAAAGATGCATTTTATTGTAAAGAAACAATTTGAAGGAAGAAGTATGTTGTAAAATATATTCACTGCAAATATTTTGCTGTGTACATATATAATTATATTTTAACTTTTTAAACAAAATTGTACAGAAACGTATAAAGGCATTGATGTATTTTTTTCTTTGATAAGTATTATAAAACCCCCAATACCAATCGACAATATAATAAGCTCTCATTGATTAGTCGACATAGGACCAGCGACCCATCTCTATCTAGTTGTGCACATCACTGCTTTCTCCAGTGTTGGTTTTTGTCAAGTCCTTCAAAATCAATTCCCTGACGTATTTCATCTCAATGACCATTGTCTTTAGAAAGTGAAATGACAAACTTTACGGACGGCTATAGAGAACTCAGTCCAGAGTGCCTTGTACTTTAATTATTGATAATTATTTACACTGGATTCTGGTCCTTGTCTTTGAATTCTTTGGTTTCTAATTCTGTACATTTTAGATCGATTCTTACAAAGTATAAGTCAATATATAGATGTAAATGGACATAGATACTAGGATCTCAGATAAAAAGAGCGCATTACTGATCTTTGTTTTTATTTAAATACTTCGGCGCGTTAACTACGGTTAAGCAAATACTTATAGACAGAAATGGTTCAGTGCTTCATGTACGTAACTTTATCCCCCTTTTTCCCAAAAATAACCAACTACAAGTACTGTCGTTTTTCAGCTTATTGAAAATAGTACATCGATTGATTTCAAATTGTTAAAGTGAATGAATGTTAGATTAATTCTGGCAACAAAAATCGAGTCCCGGCCATTCTCCGATTCTCCAGCAGATAAACCGTCTTGTTATCGACTGAAGGAGAAGTGATTGTTGGAATAAAGATGTTGGCTGGGGTTAACTTTCCAGTCTAATAGTACTAATTTCTTGTGCATTCAGACCTCATTATTGTAAATAGTCTGGAAAACAGCAAAGCCTGTTCATTTCTTAAATTCCTATTAAGGTAACAAAAGATATCTATAAGGAAACAAAAAGTGACATTTCTAGCTGATTAAGTAATAACTGTTAGTCCAACTTTTTCAATTTGTTTCTCTGTGAGTTTTTGTTTGCTTATCCTTTAATGTGCCTTTCCCCACAAAAATGACTTTCTTTAATGTAATCCTTTTCTTTTCTTTTTTCAGGACCATTAGTTGATCCTTACTACAACACACAACATGCCGGGAGGAACGCGAAAGATGAGACGAGACAAGGAGATGGCGGCGGTGACATACAACATGAAAGAGGACCGGTGCCTGGAGAAAAGCATGCAGACCCTGAATCTGGAGCGATCCTATTCCATGAAACTACTGCAGTTAGATCACAGAATCGTCAAGGTTAATTATAAAAGGCTCAAGGACAAAGTCTCCAGGATACGTTCCTACCTCTCTGTGGACGAAATAAACGAGATGAAGCAATTGGAGGCTGAGGGAAAAATTAAACCGCTGAATACTGTAAATCTTGGAAGTGCAATAAAAATCGCTGGTGCCGCAAAAAGACTTAAGATTCAAGGGCCAACGCGGGCAAATACCTCTATAACACTGTCATCTCACAAAGGCAGCAATGAAACTATAAACAGACCAATGACCGCAAACAATAATCTCAGACGCAGCAATTCTGTGACAGGTGTGTTCATTGATGCCCCCGAACCAAATACGACCAAGAGAAGGAATTCCGCCGACTTTGGAATGACGACAATCAGGCCACTCAGTGCCTTTGTGGAGAGTGGCTCTAACACTAAACCTCAGAAAACAAAACGCCCAGCTACTTCTCAGTTAGTGCTTGGTCCTCAGTCACATACTCCGCGGATCAATCCCAATCCAACTCACTCTCCTTACTCATCTCATACCGCGGTAGAAAAAGAGTTCCTACCTCCACCTAGGACACAAGAGCGAACATCCGGTCTCACGGATGACATAGATAGTAATCTAGGGGATGACCTCATGGAGGAAAGGCGACAGGAAATGATAATGGAGGAACACGAAAGATTCAGTGAATTGGAAGAGAGAAAGAAAGACTTCATGATGAGGCTAGATGCCTACTTCAAGGAAAACCCCGTCCCTGACTGGTCAAATCCTCCACCTATTGTTAAGCTTCCACCATCAGAGGAAGATAAAGAAGATAGCATCAGTACGACCGGAAGTGTGAAGAAAAGCATGAAATATAGACTGTTACCCAACAGAATCACACTGGACAAGACCTTCAGGAGTGAGGAGGAATATAAAGCAAAGATCTGGGAACTATGGAAGGACTTGAACAAGTGTCGATATCTGCGGATCCCTGATGAAATGTTGGACCTTTCGGGGGTTAACACTCTAGCCAAGGACCAACTGAAACTATTCCAGATGCTCAAAAGACAGGACACGAGGCCGAATCTCATTAATACATAAAAACAATTGACTTATGACAATACGGTATGAGAGTGATATTAGATCGTAATCTTGAGATGTGAATGTACGGTATATAAGGTACTATATGGACACAGCACGATTCACAGATTTATATTTGATGTCGCATGGAAACAGGAAACAATGTTTGTGCTTAGGGATCACAGGCACTTATTTCTGAAACAAATTTTCTTACCCGATAGTATAACTTACAAGGGGTACCCCCTCCCAAGAGTTGCAGCTTAGAAATTTTATATCACAACCTCGTATGGTCTAAAGAAGACTCCCTATTTATTTTAAGGTCAAGATCAGAAATTCATACATTCTGTGTGTGTGGAATTCTATCGTTTCCGGACGATATCTCAAAAAGCCTTTGCGCTTTTATAATGAAGTTTTATACCACAACTCCCTATGACCTACAGAAGACTTCTATTGATCTTCAGATCAAAAGATCAATGGTCAAGGTCAGAAATTCAAACATTGCGGCAAAATGATCCAGATGATACTAGTAAATTTAGATGTTTTTTATTCAATGAATTTTGTATCATAATCCTCAATGTCTTAAAGAATACTTCTTTTGATTTAAGGGGTCAAAATGCCAAACGTCAGGGTAAAAATTCATACATTCTGTGTGTAACACCTTCATTTCCGGTCCATATATCCACCTTTTCGGTTTTGCAATGATATTTTGTATAACTTCTTGTGGCATAAAGAAGATCCCTACTGATTTTGAGGTCTAAGGTCGAGGTCAGAAATTCATACATTGCAAAAACAAAAATGTTTTCCTGATGATAACTTCAGTTTTCTTAGAGTTTACGCAATAAAATGTCATGTTGTAACTTCCAATAACTTAAAGAAGACCCCTATTGATTTTGAGGTGAAAAAGTCAAGGTAAAAACTTTAATTTCCATAAAATGATTTCCCGGTGATGAATTTGGTTCTCTTTAAGGGCTTGCTATGAAATTTTATACCGTTTTTCTATCTATAATAACTTCTTTTTTTGTAAAAAAAAAAAAACAAAAAAAAAACTATTGATTTTGAGGTCAAGAGGGCAAAGACCAAGGTCAGACACTCATGTATTGCATTCAGTTTTCAGATGATAACTTTAGTCCTTTGTTAGCTTTTGCCATGAAACTAAAGGTCATGAATTTCTTCAACTTAAAAAAGACCCCTAATGCTGAAAGGTCAAGGCCGCCCTCACCTTTTTATTTTCTCCATCTACATTTCTTTTTGGTGTTCCACCTTTTTCTTTTTTTCCTTAAGTGGTGGACACAAATTCCCTGACTTAGCTTGATTTTCTTTTCTTTTTTTTTCTTGCTCGCTGACTGGAAATTTCGTTTCACACCACAAAGAGCTATGTCCTAGTCTCTGTCAGAATATCTATTTGAATTTTGATTGGATGAAACCTGTTTCTAAAATTACATACATGGAAAATATTCCAGATTAGATGTGGAAAATTAAAAAAATATATATAATATCATTGTATTCATTAATTGCAATATTGAAACATTGAGAGTTGAATTTTTAAGTCCTTTTGCTCTTAGCCCGAGACTAGAACATAGCACTTTGTGGCGTGAAACTAGATTTTCAGTCAGCCAGCAAATTTTGGATGTTGTTTATGCCGAGACAAGAAGCAAATATGCCACACATGATTTTGTAGATGATTTTAAATTATCGTAGAAGAGAATGGTTATATGAACAGTTTCCTACTGCGTTTTGTTTAAAAACTAAATGACTGTGGAAGAGGGTACCCCGTGTTGTTTGGAGTTGGATCCCATGTTTTATTATTATACTAGGGTGTATAAACTTTATTTCAGAAACAAGTATCGGTGCTGGGAGGTAAACAGATACACAGGGAGTTACGGAGAACTGAGGATGGATGCATGAGGATTTTTTTTTTATTATTATTTTCCATAGTATTTATATATATAGCAAAACAAGTGGCAATAAGTAATGAGATGTTTATTGATAAATTTGTAAATAGATACGCAATGCATTTATTAAACACGCATATATTATATTTAAGCAATTTTGTTGATTGCTATGCTAATAAATCTTTATTCTAGTACAGTTCATTTGATATGTAAGCCACATTCCTCAACCCAGTGTTGAGGAATCAGTCTGGGTTTAATTATCACCAGTGATATCCATGATTCTACAACACAAAAAATGATTCAATTGGCATAGATGTTAATTGTATATACTTACAATGAACGAAGATGTTTAATGTGTCCGTGTCACTTCTGAACTCAAATGACATAGTCTTAAAAAGTCTTAAAGGTGTTTTATATTTCACTTCTGAAATATGATGTAAAGAGTAAAATCTACTTATTCATAATCAATTCAATGTAAATGTCATAGGAATAATTAATTATAAGTTTTCAAAACATATAAAGATGGAAAAACCTTGGTTATCTTGCCCGTAGAGCATTTTTATTATCAAATGTTATTATATGTTTTCTATTAAGAACATTAATCATTATCAAACAACCTTCAGAGAAACACCAAAAGAAGTCTGAAAATGATGTCTTAGTAAAGTGCTATAGTGCTTTTAAAGGGCTCGAGATAGTATTTATAGTTGCGTGATTTGAAAGCAATTCGTATAGCCAATACTCTGATTCACTATCATCGTCTCCAGCCACTGTCCGGAGTCTGAATATAGCTCTCTCCTTGGAGAGGATCGTACATTTTGGCCGTGGTTTGCGACGATGGTTCACTATCAACATTTCCAAAATTACAGAATAATAATTTTACTCCGAATCAGGATTTGTGAAGCGAATCACTACACTATTTTGATTGATATTTTTATCTATTAGTGACGCAAAGAAACGTCCGTTGTAAAAAAAAATTTTGATTACGTATTCAACACTGGACGAAGGCTCAACATAGTTAACTAAACTAAGTATTGGCCCATTACTTCAAATTTCACTTATTAAGCACGTTATTTATTGACAAAATCTTAATAATGGAATTTTTTTAAAAATATATCTGTATTTACAAAGCACTTGTCAGGATCCACCTGTCTTTGGAATATTAAATCTTGAAATTCAATACATCACGTTAGGACAGAACCATTTCTATCGGCTTTGCAAAGGTCAAGGATCTGAAAAGGATCATAAATCGAAAAAGTCACTGTTACAAATTATATATGCACATCGGATTTCATGATTATAAGCTCTAAACCACCACCTTTCCAAAAGCTACTATTTGTGTAGAAAACAATTCACATGCAATCTGACGTAGTCAAGGACCACTGAATGAGCACAGTCTTTTTTATCACACTCCTATGTAACGAGAGAAAGATCATCATTAACTTGAGATATCTAAGTTAAAAATTAGTAACACTTTGGTCTGAACGCCTTACTCCGAAGTTAGTCGAACGACAACCTTTATCATCTCGTAATTTATATATTTTTTTCTTTATTGAACCTTCTATTCTGCAACGAATATCTTTTACATCTACCAAAGGACCTCTGTGTCGAGGCTAAAGTTGTTAACTTTGGATTTTTTTCAGTGACTGACATCACTGAAAAGTGAGTAGTATCATCTAAATGATAATTCAAAGGTTATGTCAAAATCAAATCATAATCACAATAAGAATTTCCTCATCCAAGAAAAAAATTACAGTCAGAGGAATATTCACTATAAATTGTTTTCATCATTGACAAAGCAGTCGGGGGAATATTCACTATAAACTGTTTTCATCATTGACAAGGATATGGTGAAGATATTCAAACACATGATCAAGTATCTGGGCATGTCTTTCCTTGGGAAGACCGCCATGATTAATGGCACACGTTTGTATTCCTGTTTTATAAAAACCGGAAAATCTAAATGAAGCACTTTCAATATGTAAGTAAAATACAAATTCCAGTGTTCTTAGGTAAAACTTCATTTTAAACATATTATTTTTTGTCTAAAAACTTTCCAAGTCGATTAAGGTAATTAGACACTTTTTTGTCCATAATGCTTCGCACTTCGTGTTCTTTCACCAGCAGATCATGTCGTATTTCGGCCTGTAGATTATTCCCCAAGTCGTCACCAATTTCATTGGATAGGAATGTTGTGCGGCCTCCGGGAAGGCGACGTGATCTTGTTCCATCTTTGGGGGCATGCGATGAAAACATCGCCTTTGTAGGATTAATACAACCACTCAATGAAGATTTAGATCTTTGTATGGTTGGTTTTGGAGAATTTAAGGGCATAGTCCTGGTTCTTGATACGTTAGCTGTTTGTGATCTGGGGGTGGTGTTCTTAAATTTTTCTTTCTCGGGATATGATGAGAATGAAGCCGTGGGTCTGACGTGTTTACGCGGCGTGATTTGGCTATTCTCTAAAATCTGAATGGTTGGTGTTGAAGACCGAGAAACATCTATATGTTTCGTCGTTCTTGAAGAACTACATTCGTAAAAACTCTGCGAGGATATATCGGATTGTGATCTTCGCTTATTGAGTTCCTTCACCTCCTCTGCTGTAAAAGTCTTTGTTGCCATCAGTTTCATTTTTCCTTTAGTGGGCTCCACCATGTCCAGATCTAAGGCAGACCCACTGTCCAGACTCAGAATAGATGGGGTAGTACTGTCAATCAAATTGTCACGCACAACGTCCATTCTAGATTCTGGACGTGTGAAAGGACGTTTTTGTTCTATTGTTTTAATCTTGCATTCATTTTCTTCATTTTTTCCAACTGCTTCTTGTAAAGAATTGGAAACGTTTTCGTTTCCCTCCACGTGTATTCCATTAGGTTTACCATTCTCACCATTTACCTCCTCGTTTTGTATTAAATTGTTGTCCTCCTTTACAATGCTTAATCTGTGATCGTCCAAAAACCTCTTCCGAACATGTGCAGAAGCACTGATTGTTTTTCGTTCCGAAGAATGTCTTTTGAGCGGACTTCTAAGGGAAGGATAATCGCCTCTGGGTGGGAGCTTTGTTTTTCTCTCGCTATTGTTTGAAGTCTCATTTTGATTGGAAATTGTATAATTATTCACTTGAACCTTAGAAGGCACAGAACTTTCACTTGATTTTCCTATAGCACCTTTAATTGAGTCTTTTGTTTCTTCTTTTTCATACTTGGAAGTTTCAGACAACCCGTTTTTCAGTGACTCCCTTCGTGGAAGTTGTCTTTTTTCTGACGACGGTCTAGGGGGTTGTCGCGGTGTGTTTGTAGAATAAGATCGTCTAAGAGGAATTGCCGTCCTTGGCCTCATGGGTAGATCAAGGTTTAACCTTTTGGCTTCTGCAGTGATCCGCCCTTGAAGATTAGGCGTCACGGATGGGTAAATCCCTTTTAATTTCCCCGCTTCATCTAACTTTTGAAATTCTGTGATTTCAGTTGGAGTCAGGTTACTTTTAATTTTGGAGACTTTATCCTTGAGTTTTTTCTGATACAATTTGACTCCTCTGTTATCGAGGTTAACCAAGGTCAAAGAGTAGTCCTCTTCTACCCCTAAAAGCTGAAGATTCTTTTTCAGACATCTTTCTTCCTTTAAGTTAAATTTCATGGCAGAAATTTCGGCGTATGTAGTTTTGCCCTCCCTGTCAGTTTTCATGGAAGGCATGTTGACTTTTTATCAAAACTGGATGATAACTTGAAAAATTACTGAAAAGGAAAGTGGCTATGAGATATCATCAACACATGGGGTGATGTAAATGTAGATGAGCATTTTAAAAAAAAAAATCTTTGAATTTTGCAGCTTGAAGATTAAAACGTCAACTAGTCTCGGTATGTCTGTAAAAAAATTTTACAAGGAGTGAGAAAACGGTGAAAACTAAGGCTACCCCCTTCTCTCCCCTTAATTAATCATAACATTCTTCTAGTGTTTTTATGTCTAGGGTTCCAAGAATTCGGGCTGGTAAATAAAATAAATGTTATAGAGTTAAAATACCAAGTCTGAAACTTTATACCATTGACCCGATACTTATCAGGGTTGATCCGGTAAGCCACAGATTCTTAGCCAAAGCCTCGTATATATGCATTTATTCGGATTTATCATGCCCTTAAGAGGATAAAATGCATGTTTCAAAAAGGTGTGTTCAGTTACAAGGCCATGCTAAACTAATTCTACGAGGGTTTGTTCAAATCATTTACAGGCTAATTTTTCGTTTCTAAACTCTCTCTCTCTCTCTCTGCGAAACATTGATTTTTTAAAAACATGATAAAAATATACCATATATTTATATATTTTGTAAAGAGAATTTTGGAATTGTTTTGTTATTTGCGAGATTAAAAAACAGGAGACATTAAAACGATTAATTGGCAATACTACTTTTAGTAATTTTACAATTGTAACTTTTTCGTTTTTTATTTTTTGAGCATTCTGTATCAAACAACAGAAAAATGGCTACGGTAAGTAGGGCGTCCACAAAGACTACGTATGGTTGTATGTGCCCGGAGGATCGACTGGTTTGTATGTTCCCGGCGGAAATCTCATTCAGGATCAGGAACCCCCTTTTTTCAGAATTCATTGCTAAGTAGTAAAATAAACTAGGGTACCCACGTATGTTATTACGGAACGCCTTCAATGTAACTAAACCTAGAATATTTATTTTCTATAAAGAATATATAAGGGAGACCTAGTGTTTTTGTTTTACTCAATTATTTTCAATACTGTACATTACTACATGTAGTTGTAGATTTAATTCTGTTTATATCAAACACTGGTAACGGCTGGAGGAACTCGAGATTTAGAAGAGGGAGGGGGGTAATCTGAATAAGCTGATAGGATCACATTTACCAACCTTGATTACAGTTACAACTTTATCATTGATAAATCGTTTTGTAGGAAGAGACCACAGGCACTAGGGGACTGGACCCCCCCTTTTCTATTTTTTTCTTTCTTAAATCTGGGGTCGACACACCTTTTTCCTATTTTTGTATTCTAATATGCACTACCTGATATCGATAATGTAACCCTTTTGTCTCAATAAGCTGTTTTTAAATATATCATTTTCGACCAATATACTCTCTTTTTATGAATCAGTCGAAAACGATATATTTAAAAACAGCTTATTGAGACAAAAGGGTTACATTATCGATATCAGGTAGTGCATATTAGAATACAAAAATAGGAAAAAGGTGTGTCGACACCAGATTTAAGAAAAAAAAATGGAAAAGGGGGGGGGGCAGCTCCCAAAATTAAGTGCCTGTAGAAGAGACCATAGTATTTAAACTTTTGTGCTGTTATTTAACACGTTTCTGGTGTACTGTACCTTAGTTCAACTTGAACAGTCCTCTCTTCTATACAACTGGACTCGTAGGCTTGACATTACTGTGTAAATGAATTAAACCGATGTTCAGTACATTAAGAAATATATAACTGATTTTTTTAATTTACAAGTCTACTCTTCAACTGACAGGACACGTTCATGCTGAAAATTTGGAAACATGAAACAAAATACCTTCTATACCGCTTCCAAACATGATTAAATTGTCCGACACCCTGGTCTTCATTTTCACCTATACACATGGCGACGTACATTTCGAATGAAGATTAATATTCCAAAGGTAGATGGATTACAAAAGATTAAGTTGTATATGATATGTATATACCTCTCATGTGCTGGGGGATTAACCAGTGAATTAATACAATGTGATCCGTATAATCTCACCTAATCAAGGTTTAACAGCAGCCGGATTTCAGCTTATTACAAAGGAATCTGTACTGTCCAATACATACAGATTCATGTAGAATCAGAGAACTGAAAGATCTGACCTGTGGTGGATCCAGGAATGTAACAACAAAAGGGGGCATGTGCACATTGTTTTACATCAAATTCTGTTGACAGGCAGAAAAAAGGGTCTAATGCTTTCGTGGGCTGATAGTAAACAAAGTAAAAAGTTAGAGATCAATGGGAAAAGTTATCATTCTGTTCCGAGATTTCTCATCCCACTATATTTTCATGAATACATTTAAAATATAGCTTCAGCAAAGAACAGACAGCCCCTTTCAAACCGTCACTGACAAGACCCAAATTTTTAGTGAAGCGAAGGGACTGGGGTCCGTCATGACCCCATTAAGTCCAGGACAGTGCCCTTGTTTGGGGTCGAGGCCCATCGGAAACCCCTTGGTTTTTGCAAATTAAAGACTTTAAAAATTTAGAGTTTTGATATTAAAATTTTGTCATGAAAACAACAAACATGTCTGACTGATATGGGGAATAGATCAGCTTTAGCAAGTAGTATCATTATAAAAAGAAAATGGTTGAAAATTCGAATTTAATTTCAAAATACATGTACTTGAATTGTCTGTGCGCTTGAGAGGACAACTTAGAATTATGGAATATCCAAGGCTCAACATCACTTAAGAAAGATACGAAATCTTTTTATCTAAGTTCTAACGACTTGAACTGAATTATACACAATGCAATATACCAGTACATGTATTTTAAACCTTTTCTGCCATGTTGTCAAAAACTAAACATGAACATGAAAAGATATACTTGTACATGTAAAATATGTATCATGACAAATTCATATCCGATTTTAAATGATTTGTGTTTTGAAATGAATTAATTGTAACCTCCACCCAATTTACAATCAAAGAATATATCAATCTAATAAATACGTATACCGCAATTCAAGCCCCACCCCATCAAAATGCAAAAATTATAACAATTATTTTTTTAATTATTGATTGAGTACAATTACACAAATAATTTGTTCAAAGTAGTTCATTTGTTTTAGTTAAAAAAAAATGGTGACACATGTGCTTCACTTGCCTCAATGTTTTTAAATTGTGTCTTGACTGGTGATAGAATGTAATACATCTGCAAAGCTTTACAAATTGGAGGAGAATTTATTACGTTTTCTTTTTAATGTTCATACTTATCAAACAAGAGGCCCATGGGCCACAACGCTCACCTGCGTAACGTTCTTCACCAGATTTCCCCCCTTGTAATACTTATTGTGACCCCAACCTACTTCCGGGGGTCAGGATTTGAAGAATTTAAAATCTACAATACCTTTGGAAGCTTCCACATAAGTTTCAGCCTTTCTGGTCCAGTGGTTCTAGAGAAGAAGATTTTTAAAGAGTTTTCCTATATACTTCAATGTAAAACTTTGATTCTCTAATGTGGCCCCACCCTGCCCCCGGGGGCCATGACTTGAACAATTTAGAATCTAACTACTCAAGGATGCTTTCACGTAAGTTTGAGCTTTTCTGACCCAATGGTTCTTGAGAAGAAGATTTTTAAAAGGTTTTCCTTTATACATGTGTTTCAATGTAAAACTTTGATTCCCTGTTGTGGCCACACCCTACACCGGGGGTCATGATTTGAACAATTTAGAGTCTACACTACCCAATCCAATTAATAAGCAAATCTCTGATATATGTACAATTGATCTGCAAAACAAAAAAGTTTCTATCTTGAGAACTGTAGGAGATATCAACAATTGTGAACAATTGAAAATCTAAACAACCTTAAGAAGCTGTCAAGTACATTTCACTTTTTTCTGGCCTAGTGGTTATTGAGATGATGTTTTAATGACACAACCTTTTTTTTATGTCCCCGCCATAAAATGGCCGGGCATATAGTGTTACCCTGTTCCGTCATCATTCACTTTCCGTTCATTGTCTCTGCAAAAGTTGCACACATTCAACTCAAATATGACATATGGATACGTCATAGGAATATGCAGGTCAAGTTTGAATTTGGTCATGGTCCGATGATTTTTAACAGAGTTATCCCTCTTGAATTTAGAAAAAAAAAAGAAATTTTCAGTTTCCACTCTCTAACTTTTGTGGGGATGTATGTATAAGGTTGAAATTGAATATGCAGGTATTTTACCAGAAAATACAGGTCAATTTCGAATTTGGTCATGGTCCGATGATTTTTGACAGTTATCACTCTTGTAGCATACTTGATTGTGATAGAATTCGGCTGAGCCGAACCAAGCCGGCTAAACCCCGGTACGCTCTTAGAATCAAGCGAACAGGCTCATGTAAAGTAATAGAAATATTGTATTTCTATCGTAAAACATTATCTAGCATAGAAAAGGACTACACTTTTTGCAAATATGTTCATTTCACAAGCGTACCTCGATCAAAAGCTTCACGTCTTAAAACAAACAACTTTCAACACTACTATCCCCAAGGACGCCATGTTGAAGCCGCCCGAGCCTATCAAATTTTTCCGGCTCAATCGGCTCACCCGGCTTGATGCGTGCGCAATACCGGCTCAGAATCAAGCGTGTCGCCGGTCGCCGCCGGTTTACCCGGGCGCGCCGGAATGGTCAGAATCAAGTATGCTATTGAACTTAGGAAAAAATAAGAAATTTTCAGTTTCCACTCTCTAACTTTTGTAGAGCTGTATGTATAAGGTTGAAATTGCATATGCATGCAGGAATGTTACCAGAAAATACAGGTCAAGTTCGAATTTGGTCATGGTCCGATTATTTTGACAGAGTTATCCATCTTGAACTTAGATAAAAAAAAAAAAAAAAAAAGAAAGAAATTTTCAGTTTCCAGTCTCTAACTTCTGTAGGGATGTATGTAAATGTATGTAAAGGTATTTTACCAGAAAGTATGGTTCATGTTTGAATACAAATTTAAAACTAAATATTGCATTTGAAATTTTGGCTGCTTGCGGGGGCATTCGTGACTTTATCGACACATGTAGTTTCTTCTTTTTATATATATATATATATATATTTCCTACTGGAAGGGGTTTGGCCTTTCATATGAACAATTTAGAATCCCCTACTCCTAAGGTTGCTTTGTGCCAACTTTGGTTAAAATTGGCTCTGCGATTCTTGAGAAGTCAAAAAATTTGAATTTTTTTACAGATGAACGGACACACAGACAGTTAGATGGATGCCGTACAACAGGTGATCAGAAAGCTCACTTGAGCTTTCAGCTCAGATGAGCTAATATCAGCAAAAGGTCCTTACACAAATATAAATACATTTGTATCATCTTTTGAGATCAACAAGTCCTTACCAAAACCAGAAATGGTAGATTATACTTGTTATCAAACAGTCCTTAACAAATATGGGATTGAAAATGATAAATATTTTCTAAGTTATCAACTACTGGTAATCCTTATTCAAAACTGTCAATATTATCATTGACATTAAACAGTCTTTACTCTAAGCCGGATGGTAAACGTCATCTTTTACATCAGTCCTTACTCAAACCAAAAGTGCAAAAGATCATCTTTTTCTCATTTTCTCAGCTTAAAAACAACTCATCTTTAAAATGATGTATGGTATTTTTTCCTTCAATTTTACATTACAGAACCCAATTTACAATTAAGGGCATTGAAACTTGGGGATTGCTAGTTTATGTTGTAAAAAATTGCTTCCAATTTGTTTCTCCTAAGCTGAAGCTCCACCCACTAGTCTCACAAGCAAATTCTCTCCCATGTGGCCCTATCTCGCTCATACTTCACCCACAGAGTGCTTGTTAGTTAAGGTTGTGCAGTGTCCTTGAACCAAATTTCCATGTCAGAGGTCAAGATCAGAATCAATATATTATGTCACTTTGAATGATGCAAACTAGCAATCAAAGCTTCATCACACTTCATTGTACCACTTAGAATTTCCAAAAAACATTGAACATAAGTACTTCCCTAATCTTTTATTAATAAATATATTACATGCATATTTATTTTATAATAAACAGTCCAAATTATTCAGTTTATTTATGTATGTCAGAACTGTCAAGTTTCAAGGACTGCATTATGGTGAGTACGGTCAAACATGTTATAATTTCAGAATAAAATTCTCCGGTGAGGTAGAAAGACATTCTTGTTTCTAATTTATTCATACTCTCATAAGATTGTACTGGGTAAACTTAGTTATTACATGTTCTAGCACTAGAGTCACGTTAGCCCTCCCCTATTCATATTGACATCAAACAGTTCTAACCCAAACTAGAAATTGTAAAGATTATCTTTTACATCAAACAGTCCCTAGACTCCCTACTCAAATCAGAAACAGTAAAGATCATACATGTAGCAGTACTGTATATTAAACAGGACTTGCCCAAATTTCATAAAAAAATTTCTGACTGATCAAAGAAATTTAAATTCATAATTTATTTTTCTCCATATCTTGAAGAAATTTATACACACTCATTCCAATCATATGAGTTTCAATCACCCAACATTCCATACTATATGTTTCAATGACTGATGAAAAATGTCACTATTCCTCCTGTATCCTCCATCATTGTTAAACATCTGGAAATTGTTTATAAATGCTCATTATAAAGAAGTAAAATAGCAGTCCCTCTGTTATTCAGTTAATCATCCAAGATAGGATATGTCAGTTATTTGATCAGTTGTTCCAGTAGTTATTCAGTGAATCAGTAGTTGTGACTCATCATAAACCACCTCCTCCTCTTCCTTTTTAGTTTTGATTTTGAGGTTGATCCACTGCTCTACTTTCACTTTGTCTGGAGAATCTGCAGGAAGTGTTGGTTTTATATCATACTCTCTTTCTTGTGGTTGACATAACAAGAAATTGATTAAATGTTCCAGAACTGTTTGATCAAAACCCATAATTTTGTTGTCTTCAAAGGTTTCATACAGAGCCATTTCTGGTGTGTACCAACACATATTGTGGATGGGGTTAGCCTCCGTATTTTTCCAAAGCTGCAAAGTGTTGAGCTGATTGGCAAAAAATTGAAATTTTCTTCCATCCGTCAAAATTCCAAAATTGGTAAAAGGATAAGTTATATCTATGAAGCTGTTGAATCCTACAAAAGGGAAATCTTGTTATCAAAAAAATTAAATATTATTACAGATCAGTAGCCCTTTTCACAAAAAGAAAGTTTTTGTGTGCACGATTTCTAGTTCTACAACAAATCTAAAGTGCTTTTCTTCATAAACACATTTGTAAATTAAAGGAAAAAAATAAATGAAAATAAAAAGAAAGTTTAGATTTCAACACTTGTCAGCGAAACAAACATTTATGACAATAAATATTGAATGCAATAGATTGTGAAGCAAGGAAGTTTGGATCTGACATCACAATCACAAATCTGACGTAAAACTAGGTCATACGAATATCTTAAGTGAAACTGCCATTATGAATATTTTGTAGTATGTTTCATTGAATGTTTTTGAAATAATTGTGAAAAAATATAAAATGCTAGAGTAGATTGCTTTAAAAAGTTCAGTTAAACAAGTATTTTGGTTTTCATGGTTATTTTCTTACAATAAAATTGGTTCTAAAATACTTGCGAGAGGGTTAGGGCTCTCCTAAAGTCATGACAAGTTTTACACATAAGAATTTCGTAAGAATTTTTGTGAAAAGGAAAAAACTTACAAGATTCCTCATTTCATGGAAATTTATTGCAATATTTTTTTGTTAAAAGGTCTACAGGTAAAACACTCAAGCAACATACAGTACTTTGAAACAATACTACTGAATTATACAATCCAGCCTTTATATAAAAGTCTCAAGATAAGCGTATACTGTGTTCCCCTAGCCAGGGATTTGTCTCTCCTACTAGTCTCCCTATCTGTTAGTTTCAATCTGAGCAATACTAGGGATTATCAGAATCTTTGTTTCAATCTGAGCAATACTAGGGATTATCAGAATCTTTGTTTCAATCTGAGCAATACTAGGGATTATCAGAATCTTTGTTTCAATCTGAGCAATACTAGGGATTATCAGAATCTTTGTTTCAATCTGAGCAATACTAGGGATTATCAAAATCTTTGTTTCAATCTGAGCAATACTAGGGATTATCAAAATCTTTGCAAACTATCTGTGTACCTATACAACCATGGTTCAGATTGGAATGGCACACATATAGTTATAAACATGTGCCAGATGCAGCATATGTTACATAACAATTTGCATCAAATTCATGGTGTAAAAATGCTGTCATTTTGTTGATGACTGTGACAAAAATGGATGAGTCCATCATACTGGAGCAAAAAAATGATTACAAAGGTTTACTTAATATTTGGAAAACCCTATACAGAAATGTAAAATGAACTACATATCATTTACAGCAATAAAGGTGTTCCCAAAAATTTAATACCGGTAATTAAGTGTTGAGGGAATGTGATCCACTGCTTGGTGTGTGTGTGTGTTTGTGTATGCAATACCAAAACCATTATTTACTACCCCCCTCCACTCTCATCATCCCAGATTTACTATCCCCCATAGCTTTTTAACAACCAATTTACCATTTTAACATTTATTAAAAAAGAAGTATGGATAAGTGTCCATGACAGTATTTGAAACTCATCGTAAAATTAGCTAGAGATGCAGGGCTGACTGCTAATCAAAGCTGTCAGCCCTGAAGATCTACTATTTATGCATCTCAGGCCGTGGAGTGCACGGTTATTTCAAAGCACTGAGCCATGATCAACTTTTGGTTGCCACATTTTAAGGCCCAAAAATGTTTCAACTAACAGTCTAACAAGGTTTATTGTTCCTTGGACTCACAGTGCTTTAGACATATATATATATACAATCATATAGCTGTGAAATTCAAAACATGGGTCAATGCAGCATTTTAGGTTGTTACACTTAGAGGTGATTTGATATGTAGCCAAAATTCAAAAAGTTTGCACACATGCACTGCACCAATGGCCATGGGATTATCTTAATGAGTCAGTGGCAGAGGTAAGATAAAAATAATTTCATGGTGATCATATTGCTATCAAATATATGCATGATTTACCTTGGTAATGTGCTTGGGCAACATTCCAGACAAAGCCTGTACTCATCCCCCAACCTATCCTGGCTTCTGCTGCATATCTCTCTCCATAATCTTGTTCCATCTTGTGAAGTTTCCTCTTGTTGGTATTTTGTATGAACATGTAACCAAACTGTGCAGGATCACCTAAGTTAAATCCTGCAAAAAATCCCCTAGATTAAGTTTATAGCTAAAAATATAAACTTTAGAGATTTTGAGGTTACATTTATTTTGACTGAAGTATAATTGACATAATTAACTCTTGAATTACAATTACAGGAATTGTAAAAAAAAAAATCTTGTAAAACAATGGCACCCTTGCATCCGAACACGCTTTATTGATACATGTATACCTTCCCCCATATACAGTGGCCCCACCCTACCCCGGGGGTCATGATTTGGACAAACTTGAATCTACACTACCTGAGGATGCTTCCACATGAGTTTCATCTTTCCTGGCCCAGTGGCTCTTGAGAAGAACATTTCTAAAAGATGCTATTAATTTTTCACTAATTTGTAATTATCTCCGCCTTGGAAGAGGGCATGGCCCTTCATTTGAATAAACTTGAATCCCATTAACCCAAGGATACTTTGGGGCTATTTTGGTTGAAATTGGCCCAGTGGTTTGTGAGAAGTCGAAAATGTGAAAAAGTTTATAGACAGACGGATGCCAGACACAATGTGATCAGAAAAGCTCACTTGAGCCGAGCTAAAAATGTAATGATATTATCGTGGTATTTTGGGGAAAATCATGATAAATTTTTGGCGAAACACATTCCTATCATAGGTAAAAAGGAAACCTGGCAGTATTTTTTTTTGTATAGCCTATTCCAGTAACTTGACTGTTGACTTGACTGATAACTTGGCAGTTTAGTTTGTATAGCCTATTTCACCAGTAACTTTACTGTTGACACGACCGATAACTTGGCTGTTCACTATAGAGTCCTCTGACCAGTTACCTAAGATTGAATCTACCTGGATTAACAGTGATGAGATCATCCCCAAAACAAGCTCCATAAGACTTTGGATACAGGTGCCTGCTTGGTGGTGCTGAGTTGCCTCCCTTTATATCTGTCCCTGATGTCTGAGCTTTCTTTTCCTCTTCCATTTTTTTGTTCTCATAATAAATCAGTCTGTCCTCCTTCAGCTTATCATTGTCAAACTCACATTCCTGTACATCTGCAAACTACAAAAAAAGTAACTTTATGTACATGTAAGTATGACACAAACATTTACTGCAAATTATGGGGGGGGGGGGGGGGGGTATCAGGTTTGTATAATAATTTTTTTTTCAATTACTTGTCCTGCATTGATTTGATTGTTGCTTGAAGAAATGTATATTTCAGATGAAAAATATATAATATTAATTAATATACAGTAAAACTTGGTTATAGCGAAGTCCTGGGGACCTGTGAAATGACTTCCCTATATCCGTAATTTGTTATATCCATATAAGGAATTCTTTAAATTTATATAGCTGGGGATCCAAGAAAACTTCGTTATATCATCCATGTTCATACTAAATGAGTTTTACTGTATAAATTATAGTAAAAGGACTAAATATATAATATTGAAGGAAGTATTCATTCTTGCCACTGATAATATTTATATTAATATATGGAATGTTCATTCAATTTTGATACAAAAACTATTGATTTGGTATTGTATAATATCAATTCACAATTTATATTCCTCATGTTATCACAATTACTGATAGGTATAAAACCATTTTGATTTGGTATCTTTTCTTTGTTCTGTTGGGATACACATTGCCGGTCACAGCAGAATAGAAATATATACCAGAACTTTGGTATTCATCACATTGTCTAAAACATTTGTTTCAAAATAAAATCCTTGCTCTTAGCAGTGTTCATAAAGACTTCTCCCAGGCATAGTTAGCCAGTAGGGCTATTTAATTTGACATATTTACTATAGAATTACAATAGTATTGTACCTAAATATCTACAAAGGAAGCAATGCAGTTGTAATAGCAATATAGTAACTTTTACATTGGAATATTAAACATATTTGAAGTGAAAGGCAATGTACCCTAGGTGTCTAAAACTGACTGAAGTTGAGTGTGAATTTCCAGACATGAATTATGACTTTTAAATCACTGTCTCAAGATTCAACAGGATCTAGCCAAGTCAAATCAAGTGACAGTTTCATACAATAGGGGTATCGCCTATTTTCTCTAAAAGTTTGAAGTAAACTAGATAGACATGTACTTTACTCATTCCAATTAAACCCAAATACTCTGTCTTGGTTCTGATTACTTAACGTTAATGTTTGCTGTCCACTGGTTACATAGTTACCTGATGATCAAATTACAGTTATTTGTTGGAGATCAACATGTTTATATGTAATTTTTGCAAAAACTGTAGACAGGTTCTTAATTTCTTTATAATATCTGTGTGAAGATTATTTCACATGCGTATCTCAGATTTTCTTTTATCTTTTTTAATGTGTACTCCAACATAGGACTCAGAATTTAAGCATCACAATTCAAAAGACTGTTCCACCATTTTGATAAACAAAAGCACGAAATTGTAAATTGTTTAGAGTAAGTATTAGTAAGTAAAAAAAATAATAAAATTGTTTTTTTAATTAAATTTACAATGTTATCCTCGTAATATATTAATCCTTCTTTAATTCATTGTTAATTTTTTAAAAACTTGTAGCAATCCAGTATAAAAAAAAACAACAACAACAACTTTGTAAAGTAGCCGAGTTACTGAGTTTTGAATTCAGATACACCATATTTAGCGTTTATGTAATACTTCCAGTTAGCATATCGTCATTACCGGTATTTTAAAACAATTGCGATATATTATCGTTGGGTTCAATATTGCAATATGCCGATATATATTGATAATATTGCACACCCCTATCATACAACATGTAACTCCATCAACTTACTTCTGGAAGAGGGTTTTCACTCCTGACCGTAAAGCTAACCTTTCCATTAGCATACACCCTTGAATTCAACTGAAGTTCAAATGGGGTGCGCTTCCTATGAAGTGTCTTCATTTCAAATTGATTATGGATATGGTGCCGTTTCCTTATAATATTAGGTGGATTAATTCTTTTTATTCCATACTTTTCCCAGTGGGCTGCCAATTCTACATTTTCTGTTATCTGCATGTCAGAAAGCTGAGGATACTGATTCCCTAAAACAGTTGATATAACATACAGTAGTCTTTTTATAATAATGTCTGGATGTTTATCTTCTGTGACTCTTTCGTTGTTATATCCTAAAACTGGCTTCGCATGTCTGCGATCCAGCTGTGTATGTTCTTCGGTAAGAATATCCATCACAATTGGGCATAAAATGTGTTTTACTTTGGTCAATTCTTCAACGTTTATCTTATCCAAACTGTGAATTCTGTCTTTCAAATTTGGAACTTCTTCCAAAACAGTTTTTGTCATGATTTGTTGGTATTTTAAATTTCCTGGGGTTCTGTTTAATAAGGAATAATTCCAGTACTTATGACAGTATTTGTCTTTGCAGTATTTTGTATCCATAAGTTGTATCCTTTCTTCTGCTGTTGGCAACATCATAAATTCTTGCCTAGAATCATACCATTCCCAAGCCACTCTCGGCTCCATGTCACCCCATTTCCCCGGAGGAAAGCGAGGTTTGATGAGCGGATAAGTTGCCTTTTCATCTTCAGTGTTATATTCATCTAAAGATGCTATGGAAACACCCCTGAGAGCAATTCTGCGAAAGCAAGTCTGAGCTTTTTGTAACCTTGATAGCTTTCTTGACCACATGGCGGCCATGATACAGAAAATATTGAGCCCGATAATAATAGATTATAAACTTCGATTTTGAATCAATTTATCCCCCTTTGAAAAACCTTATAAAATTACTATTTTTTCTATAATTGAAATGTTTTTTTTTTTTTATTTTTTACAAATTAACAAGAAAGAAATTTTAAAAACTATAACGAAGATGCAGAATCGGGATCGCAAAAGTCCATTTTTGGTCACATGACACAATTATGGCGGACAAAGTACCTGTAGTTGGTTTTCCAACTGTTCAGACAGATCAAGGATTTGAAAGGTATAATTTGACATGAATAAATAATAAGCTATTGATAATCTATGGTTTTAAAGTAAATTAAATATCATCAAAGAATACTTCTGCATGCTTTTAAAATTCAACAGAGATTTAATATTTTTACTGTGGATTACCAGCTGATTTAATTAGGATGTCTTTAATTCCTCTCATACATGAAATTAGATTGAAACTCGCCTCCATGAGCTGTCCACATTGGATTATATATAGAAACACTTCCTATTTGATGATGCGACTGTTGGGACTAGTGCAGCTGTGTATTTATTTGTACTAGATACGGTCAGACACTAACTTTTTAGGCTTAATTTAGTCCAGCCGGAATAGTGCTTTTTTACTTTTTCTAGCTCACACATGATTTTATGAGTCCATAAAAAACAAAATGAAAATCAATGTTTTGTAAAAATTAATTAATGAATAAATATTACAATGTAGTTTTTATACTTTTTTGAAATAAACAAAGCATTTATGTGAAGTGTTTAATTGCATAGATTCGTTGAAATCTCGCAATCAGGAAGTGCAATTGTATTCCTGATCTCGTTCTTTTTCTTTATTTTTATACAACCAAAACTTCTGACATTTCATACTAAATCATGATCATTAAAACATTTAACCACGTGTTTGTAGTAAAAATATAAACATGTAGTAGACCATCATGCTTTTCGGATCGGACCATTGTTCACTGTAAGCATCGCTGTGTGCAATGACAACAATATCCATTTAAGGTCAAGATCTAGTAAATGAAAGGTGCCTACAGATTTCTCAAATTTGAGAATCAAGTTCTTTTAATGATCCTTTACAAATATAGCTTGATAAAATAAGGTGTATCGGGACATCATTTTTTGGTAAACTCAACAAAAAACATTTTTTAACTGACATTTTCTATGAAAAATGAAGGAAATCAGGTATAAATTTCAGAGTTTTTTCCAACTCTGAGAAAGGAAATATATCCAGATTGCCTACAGTCTCCCAGAAAATGGTTTTTCATATCTTTTTGACCTCTGCTTTAAAATAATATTAAATTTGATATAGGTATCGGGGTTACTTTTATCATGATTTCAAATTGAATTTCATGAAAATGCTTCATTTTCTATACATGTATTATAATTCTATTACAGACATAAAGTACGGGAAAAATTAAGTTTAATTCTATTATGACGTCATAATGGATCTAGCACTACTCCAGCATGCTAGAGGTTAACGGCGAGATACTTTTGACTTGGAGCCGCGAGGTATATAAGGAGCGTAGGGACGTTAACCGAGGCTCTTACTTGTAGGAGTAGATCTAGCACCATAAAAAAAGTCTAAACTCATTTATTAGATCTTGAACTTGAGGTAGATTCCTCGACCTGTGTAAGAAACATTTAGAATGTGAAAGGTCAATGCACTCAGTCTAGACTGTGATGATACACCATCCCTATGTTAGTTGCATTTCCATAACCAAATCCAAAAATTACACATTTTATCTAATAACATGTATTTCATTCTTCTCTGGAACCGCTGAACCAGTTGAAAAGCTATTTTGGTGTAAAGCATCTATGAGTGAAGGGGAACAAAAATTGTGAATTTCATGGTTTTTTTAATTCTTGAAAATCTTCTTCTCTGCTCCTGGTTAATAAGCAAAGAAACTAAATGCATAGTTACGATGAGCAAGGGAACTTTTTCGGACATTGTGAACTTCATGGCCCCTGGGTCAGGGGTTTTAGTGTTAGGGTGAGGCTATATTGATTATATAGTGAAATTACATAAATTGTTTTGAAATCTTCTCTACTTCTGCTGAATATTTAGCAGATAAACTACAAGCATAGTTATGGTTATAATGACAAGTGTGCCTCTTTCAAAATTGTGAAATTTGTGGCCCCAGGGTCAGGAGTTCTGTTGTTGGGGGGGGGGAGGGGGGGCTGTATTGATTATATAGTGAAAATGCACTAATTCTTTGAAAATCTTCTTCTCTGCTCCTGGGTATTTAACAAACAAATGTAGTGTATAGTTATGATGAACATGGGTGCCTCTTCCAAAATTGTAAAATTTGATGGCCCCTGGGTCAGGGATTCTAGCGTTAGGCGTAGGCTTTATTGATTAATGATTATATAGTGAAAATGCATAAATTCTTTAAATATCTTCTCTGTTCTTGGATACTTAGCAGATAAACTAAGTGCATGGTTATGATGAGTAAAAGTGCCTCTTGCAAAATTGTGAATTTAATGGGTCAGTAGTTCTGTTGTTGTTGAAGGGGTGGGTTTCTATTTATTATACTGGGAAAAATGAAATGCATTATTTCTTTCAAAATCTCCTTTTCTGCTCCTGAGTATTAGGCAAACAAACTACAGTTGAACTTCGGTATCTCGAACACGGATATCTCGAATACCATGGATATGTCGAAGTGATTGAGAAGTCCTAAACCACATATTTCTTAAGTATTTTACCCTTGATATCTCGAACCCTGGGATATCTCGAAGTTTTATCTTGGCCCATCGAGTTCGAGATAACGAGGTTTGACTGTAAATGCATGGTTATGATGAGCAAAGGTGCCTCTTCCAGAATTATAAAATTCATGGCCCCTGGGTCAGGGGTTGCACTGTTAGGGTGGGGCCCTATTGATCATGTTGATTATATAGCGAAAATACATTATTCCTTTGAAAATCTTCTTTTCTCCTGGGTATTTAGCAAACAAACATAGTGCATTGTCATGATGAGCAAGGATGCCTCTTGTCAAAGTGTGAATTTGATGGCCCCTGGGTCAGGGGTGCTGGTGTTAGAATGGGGCTCTATTGATAATATAATGAAAATGTATTAATTCATTGAAAATTTTCTCCTCTGCTCCTGGATATTAGGATGACCACTTGGTCAAGTGTTCTTTTGTTGGGCAGGGCTCTATTAATTTGTATTCTACTAAGAGAAGTTATTCCCCTTTGCTATTCACTTATGATAATTTATCACTATAAATAATGCAATGGAAAGGTTAATAGAATAAAATAATTGAAAGGTTAATAGAATAAGAGAATTGTGCAAGGAATTTAATTGTATAATACAAAATGTACTGTCATAGTTTTAATGATTAGGTAGACTTTTAAAATAATAGATAAATAAAAATGAGAGAAAAATAACTTATCTTATTTAAAAATGTTCTTCAAAGACCAAGAGAAGCCAATGTCAGAGGTTATAATATGGATCCTCTAAATTGTTGTATTATACTCAGGTGACCTTTAAAGCCCTTGGGCCTCTTGTATGTATTATTCTCTTTAGAAATTTTATAAGACCATTTGAATCATCTTTGTACAAACCATCATTTAGATGAATTGTCTGGTCACAGATATAAGGAAAATAGAACTGCTCAATGTGGTATTTCATTTGAATGAATAATTTTTATAATTGTCTCTGCAGGTTAAAGAAGTTAGCTGAAAAGTTTAAGGAAAAGTTTGGTTGTGAACCAAACTTCTATGGAAGAGCCCCAGGAAGGGTCAATTTAATTGGTAAATCTTTTAATAAGACATTGTTTGCCTAAGTTAGCTGCCATTCTATAGTTCAAGTGTTGCCTCAGGTTCATTAACCTTTGTATTTTAATTTGCCTTACTTTTCCTAGCTACAATAGTGAATAGTTTTTATGTTACATCACTCACTTGAAAGTCATTTTATTTTCTTGTGATGAACTCTGCATGTAGCACTAATACCAGTATACATCTTCTAAATGGAATTTTTGATTTATTTGCTGTTAGATAATTGCAAACTGTACATACAAATTTTGTGTTTGAAATAAATGATTTGCAGGCATATTGTACTATTTCAGTTGTCCAAAATATGTAAGTTCAGTGTTAAATCTTATTCCTACAAATCATTCAATAACACTGGCATTTTCACTGATTTTTTTTTTTGAGGTGAAAACAATGATTGATTTCAGGTGAACACATTGATTGATTTCAGCTGAACACATTGAATGATTTCAGGTGAACACATTGATTTATTTCAGGTGAACACATTGTGTGATTTCAGGTGAACACATTGATTGATTTCAGGTGAACACATTGATTGATTTCAGGTGAACACATTGATTACTGTGGTTACTCGGTGTTGCCTATGGCAATAGAACAAGATGTTGTTATAGCTGTAGCTACCACGGAATCTCAAGATGTATTATTATCAAATGTCAAGAGTGAACTGTATAGGTATGTAAATGTGATGTTCTGTTACTTTTCTATGCATTTTATCAGTGCTTATTTACACTTCATCAGGAGAAAATATCATTTTTCTTTGTATGTCATTCTGTCCACAACTTTAATCTTGGTCACAAGTTTTGAAATTTACTTTTAATGTACACTCAATTCTTTTTTAACAAGCACATTCTTATTAGGTCACCTGAGTCACTCAGATGACCTATTGCTATCCGTTTTTGTCCGTCGTCGTCCGTTGTGCATTAACATTTAAACATTTTCAGCTTCTTCTCTGAAACTGCTCAACCAATTTCAACCAAATTTGGCATATAGCATCTATGGGTGAAGGGGGACAAAAATTTTGAATTTCATGGTCCCTGCCCCCCTGGGGCCTGAGGGGTGGGGCTAAAACCACCAAAATCTTTAAAAATCTTCTTCTTTACTCCTGGATATCAAGCAGTCAAATTGTTGGCATGATTGTAATGAGCACTGAGCCCTCTACCAAAATTGTGAAATTCATGGCCCCAGGGTCAGGGGTTCTGGTGCTAGGGCGGGGCTATATAGATCATATAGTGAAAGTGCATTATTTCTTTCAAAATCTTCTTCTCTGCTGCTGGGTATTAGATAAACTAACTAAGTACACTGTACATAGTTATGTAGAGCAAGACTGCCTCTTCCAAAGTTGTGAATTTCATGGCCCCTGGGTCAGGGGTTCTGGTGTTAGGGCAGGGCTCTATTGATTATATAGTGAAAATGCATTAATTCTTTGAAAATCTTCTTCTCTGCTCCTGGGTATTAAATAAATTAACTAAGTACATAGTTATGATGAGCATGGCTGCCTCTTCCAAAATTGTGAATTTCATGGCCCCTGGGTCAGGGGTTCTGGTGTTAGGGAGGGGCTCTATTGATTATATAGTGAACATGCATTAAATCTTTGAAAATCTTCTCCTCTGCTCCTGGGTATTAAATAAAGTAACTAAGTACAAAGTTATAATGAGCATGGCTGCCTCTTCCAAAATTGTGAATTCCATGGCCCCTGGGTCAGGGGTCTTAGTGTTAGGGTGGGGCTCTATTGATTATATAGTGAAAATGCATTATATCTTTGATAATCTTCTTCTCTGCTCATGAGTATTAAAGAAATTAACCAAGTACATTGTTATGATGAATATAGCTGCTTCTTCCAAAATTGTTAATTTCATGGCCCCTGGGTCAGGGGTTCTGGTGTTAGGGTGGAGCTCTATTGATTATATAGTGAAAATGCATTAAATCTTTGAAAATCTTCTCCTGTGCTCCTGGGTATGAAATAAAGTAACTAAGTACAGAGTTATAATGAGCATGGCTGCCTCTTCCAAAATTGTGAATTTCATGGCCCCTGGGTCAGGGGTTCTAATGTTAGGGTGGGGCTCTATTGATTTTATAGTGAAAATGCATTATATCTTTGATAATCTTCTTCTCTGCTCATGGGTATGAAATAAACTAACTAAGTACATTGTTATGATGAGCATGGCTGCCTCTTCCAAAATTGTTAATTTCATGGCCCCTGGGTCAGGGGTTCTGGTGAAGGGGGGGGGGACTCTATTGATTATATAGTGAAAATTCATAATTTCTTTCAAAATATTTTTTTCTACTCCTGGTTATAAAGCAAAGAAACAAGTGTATAGTTATGATGAGTAAGGATGCTTTTACAAAATTTTTAAAACTTGTGGTCCCAGGGGTTCTGTTGTTTCTCTGAGGGGAGGGGGGGGGCTCTATTTGATAATATAGTGAAAATGTGTGAATTCTTTGAAAATCTTCAACTAATTGCATAGTTATAATGATGAGGGTACCTCTTCCAAATTTGTAAATTTTCAACATCTGGACCATTTAGTCAAGTGTTCTGGTCCTGGTCAGGGCTCTATTAATTTGTATTCTATTGAGTGAAGTTATTCCCCTTTGCCATTCACATTTGATAATTAATCACTGTAGATAATGTATTTGAAAGGTTAATAGAATAAGAGATTTATGCAAGAACATTTATTGTATAATATAAAAAGTACTTTCATAGTTCATACTTGGAAATAATAGATGAATAAAAATGAAACAAAAGTAACTTCTCTTCTTAAATGTTCTTCAAAGGCCAAGTGAGGCCAATGTGAGAGGTAATAATATAGACATTTTGTTAAAAGTCTGCATGGTAATAGTGATAAATGGGGGACAGATAGAAAGATACTAGACCAATTATTTTGTTGATCTTAATCGTACTAATTTTCTTGCTACTGGGCAACAATTAAAGCTTCATTTATCAGTTTATGGATCCTCTAAATTGTTGTACTCAGGTGACCGTTAAGGCCCTTGGGCCTCTTGTTTTTAGTACCTCAACAAAAATTCATTTTAAATTACCATTATCAATTTAAACTTTGAAGATTACATTATGGTATCTTTATAATGCATGCATATGAGAAAAAAATAGTTTTCCATCACTTTTTTTCTGATTAAATTGTAGCGACTTTGTATTTCCTGTCAACAATGTGAACATCAACAAAGACAGCCCTCAATGGCAGGATTACTTTCAGTGTGGATTTCTAGGAATGACGGAACACCTTAAACTTTCATCCCCAGTCCGTGGAATGAAGTGCATGGTGGACGGAACTGTTCCTCCGAGTTCTGGCCTATCCAGTTCTAGTGCTCTTGTTTGTTGTGCTGCTCTGGTTACAATGTATGCTAATGGAAAAAGCCTTCCAAAGGTATCTCACAATTCCAAAGGTATCTCACAAGTATTTGTCATAAACTTTGACCAAAGACCACTAGAAAGTAAAGTGATAAACATGCCAGTTTCAAGTATATTTATTTTTGTGTTTTGATGCCTGGATTAAAGAATTTTTGCAAATTACAGCTAAAGAAATACATGTAATTAAAATGAATTTTGTTAGTGGGTAGAAAATATTGTACCTTCTTTGCCCCCTGTCATATATTTAACCCTCTGTGATCATCACTTATATTTTTTTAAGTAACATCTATTTTTATACACATATACATGAAGTGTAATGATACTACTCTTTGATTATTTTCAGAATGAGTTGGCAGATATGTGTGCTAAATGTGAGCGTTACATTGGAACACAGGGAGGTGGTATGGACCAGGCAATATCATTCATGGCCCACAAAGGAACAGTAAGAAATCAAATCCTGTAGAACATTGCTTTGTACGAATGCAGTTTATGCTTTCCACACAAAATGTGATGGCTATTACATAACGTTTTGGCATCTGAGTCTCTCGGGTGACCTATTTCTTCTTTTTTCTTGTCCTCACCTATTGTGCATGAAATTGTGAATGAAATTCACCATAAAGTTAGATAGACACTTGAGGCTGACTGCCAATAAAAGTTGTTAGCCCTGCTATAGATCTAATAGACGGAAAAAAGTTTATATATCTTAATTAGCTCACCTGAGCCAAAGGCTCAAGTAAGCTTTACTGGTCAAAGGGTGTCGGTCTGTTGTTTGTTAACTTTTCACATTTTCGACTTCTTCTCAAGAACCAATAGGCCAATTTCAACCAAACTTGCCACAAAGAATTCTTGGGAAAAAGGGATTCAAATTTGTTCAAATGAAGGACCATGTCCTCTTTCAAGGGGAGATAATACAGAATGAGAGAAAATTAAATGGCATCTTTTGAAAATCTTTTTCTCAAGAATCACAGTGCAAGAAAAGATGAAAACATAAGTGAAAGCTTCATTACTTAGTGTAGATTCAATTTAACCCCCGGGTTAGGACAGGACCACAATACGGAATCAAAGAGATATATAGAAATATATAGGAAATATATCTTTAAAAATCTTCTTCTCAAGAACAGCAAAGCCATTATTAGTCATATTAATATGGAAGCATTTTCAGGCAGTGTATGTATTTTGTCCAAATCATGACTCCTGTGTATAGGATGGGTCACAACAAGGGATCAAAGTTATACATAGGGAATGTATAGGAAATTTCTATAAAGTCCTTTAAAAAGCCATGATAATTGAAGTAATATTTAGAAAAAAGTCTTTCAAAATTTTCTGAAGAACAGCAAAGCCATTATAAGTCATATTTATATGGAAGCATATATTTGTTCAAATCATGACCCACCCCCTCCTGCCCCTCAGGCTAGGGTGGGGTCACAATGGGAGATAATTTTTTTTTACATAGAAATATATATAGGAAAAAATCTTTGAAAATCTTCTTAAGCCCTGATTAGTCAAAGAAATATGGAAACATCCTCAGTTAATGTAGATTCAAGTTGGTATAAATTGTGACCCCCTGGGGGTAGTTTTGGACCACTTATATATTTAAACTTTTCAATAATGAACTGATTTCTGCTCAGGTGAGCATTGTTGCCCATGGGCCTCTTGTTATTAAATTATTAAATTATTTTTATTACATGTGTAAAACTATATGAATTGTTACATCATCTTCCTTGAAAGCAATTGGCAAGTTGCATTCCTTAAAAAAAGTTTCAAAATATGTTTTGGCTCTTCTGTGACTAGAGGACTGAGTCAGTATAACATATATAGACTGAAAAGCTCTGCCACTTGGTTTATTATGCTTCGCTTCTGATACAGCTAGTCAATTTGAGACAGATTTATCTAGGTAAAGTTTTAATTACTTAAAATTTCAACATGTCCAGCCGAGCATTGATAAAAGCAAATTTAATCATCCAAAGCGGAATTTATGCGTCTCGGGTGGTTGGGGGCACAGTTATTTCAAATACTGATTAGTCATTAGCTCTTATAATTTTCCACTTCAATTTTGATCAATTTCAGTCTTGGACTAATCACTTATAACATAATATGTTCAATTTACAGGCAAAGTTGATTGATTTTAACCCACTGAAGGCAACAGATGTCTACCTGCCTGATGGAATTTCATTTGTGATTTCAAACAGCTGTGTTGAGAAAAATAAAGCAGCATCATCAGAATTCAACACCAGGGTGGTAGAGTGCAGAATCGCTACGCAGGTAGGAAGAAAATGAGATTGTAAATACCTCCATTGTCCAAAATAATAGCCAAATGGAATTGTTATTCAATGGACCAACAGCACTAGCTTGTAGGGATAGGGGGAAAAAATAAAATAAAGAAACACAAAACTTGCTGACCTTGTGGATAAAATATTACATTAAGTCAATGAGATGTTAAGAAAAAATTCAGATTTTTGCAATATCATATTTTTAAAATTTAATGAAACTCGAAAATATTTTCATATAAAAATGAGACAAAGAAATTTTTGACACTTACTGGAATCAATGGAATCAACTGTTTTATTGAAATTTTGTGTTAAATGAAATCTTACACATGAGTATGAATTACATGTTAACATGCCAACTATATGCTCTCTCGCTCTCTCTCCCTCTGAAATTGTATTTATCAGATTCTAGCCAAACAGAAAGGTCTTCAGTGGGCTAGTTTTCAGCATTTAGGAGATGTACAGAAAGCCCTGAATTTAAGCCTCCCTCAAGCAGTCAAACTTGTCAAGGAGATCCTCCACAAGGAACCATACACTCGTTCAGAAATCTGTCAAATCTTGGACATGAAGGAGGAGGATTTTGTCAGCAATGTCCTTAGTTCTAGGACTGCTCAAGGCATGATTATCTTTTACTGTCATAACAAGGCAATTAATCTGCAACTTTTGGAAGGGGTCATTCCTTCTACATAAAAGCATTTCAAAAAATACATGTGTATTAAATCTTTAAATAAATTCTGGTTAAGAAGGATAGGTGCAATGAGTTTGTGAGTAATTATCAGGTCTTTCCACCTTTCTGTGGAAAGACCTCTTGATACTCTTCTGTTTCTTATTATTTTTTATTATTTTTCCGCTGTGTGATTTTGAGTTTTAAGATTTATCGAAAAGATTTATAGTCCATAAGAATGTACTGCTAAAAAAGTTTTTTTGCAGTTGACACTGCATATATGAATTTTGACCCCTCAAGGAGTTATTTCCTCTTTTGCAATAAAAGCTTGTTATCGCTACTCATTCAATAGAACCATAGAGATATGAAACCTTCATTAATGTCTTCAAATAATTTAGTAGACTCTTCAATCTATTCAGTGCGAAAGAATTCATCAACCCCTTCAGTTTTCGATTTTTAAGAATAATTAAAAATTTTCAAAACAACAAGTAGACATGGGACCAACTGCATTAGATTCTTTGACCTTAGATCATGAAAATTAGGTCAAGTTCAAATGTCAAGGTCATTAAATATATGAGAAATTAATCTCTTTTTGTATCTCTTTTGTCTTTAAATATATAATATATATTTTTCACCTTTAAACAATTTTAAAGATTTCATTCTTGTCCCTAAGATTGACGTATTTAAAAGTTATTGCCCCTTTCACTATAAACATTGTGATTGCTAATCCTCTGAAACCGTAAACTATAGAGAGACACCAAACCTTCACCAATGTCTTAGGTTTCTAAAGTCAAACTTCAATCTATTCAGTGCCAAAGAATCCCAGGACCCCTTATGTGAGTTATTGCCCTTTTATGTTTTTGCACTTATCGTTAAACCCTAATACTTTTAAACGAATAGTCGTAGAAACATGGGACCAACTGCAATATTATCCTTGGCCTTTGACCTTGAATATATTGTCAAGGCCAAAGGTAAAAAAATTTCTTAAATTTCTTGAAAATTTTAATTTTTGTAAACTGTTTAGCCATTTCTGGTCTCTTCTGTAGGACTTTTAACTTCAGAGAGTTAAATATGAAAAATAAATGAAATTTAAAGAAGGTGGAAAGACCTCTAATTGTTTGAGTACAATTAGTCTACTAGTACTTATATTGGTTTTCTTCTATTTGCAGTGCAATCTTTCAAGCTGTTTCAGCGAGCTACTCATGTCTTCTCTGAGGCAGGGCGGGTCTTGTCCTTTAAACATATCTGTGATGAGGCAGACCCTCAGGCTTCACAGAAACTCGGGAAACTGATGAATGAAAGTCACACCAGCTGTAGGGATATGTATGAGTGCAGCTGCACTGACCTGGACAACCTTGTCAGTGTTTGCTTGTAAGTTAATAATAAATGTAACATGTATTTTTTTTTTAATTGTTGCTGTCATACATGTTCATTACCATCAACAGAGGCCAAAAAATTGAAAAATGAAATCTCATCAGGTAGGGAGGTTGGTGCTCTAGGATCTCATCTGACATTGTTATTTATCTTAATTTTTATAGCGAGGCTGGTGCTCTAGGATCTCTTCTGACAGTGTTATTTTTAATTTTTACAGGGAGGCTGGTGCTATAGGATCTCTTCTGACATTGTTATTTATCTCAATTTTTACAGGGAGGCTGGTGCTCTAGGATCACATGTGACATTTGTTATTTATCTCAATTTTTACCGGGAGGCTGGTGCTCTAGGATCACATCTGACATTGTTATTTATCTCAATTTTTACAGGGAGGCTGGAGCTCTAGGATCTCGACTGACAGGTGCTGGCTGGGGAGGCTGTGCCGTTTCTATGGTGCCAACCAATCATGTGATGGACTTTTTGGTCAAAGTCAAGAAAAATTATTATGACAAAAATTCAACAAAAGCAGCAATGGTGGGAAAATCTTTATTTGCCACACAGCCAGGAACTGGAGCCCAGATATACTTACCTAATATTGCTTCATAAAGTTAATTAATATTAGATTATAATTAGTAGTTATATGGAATATGGTGCCATAGATTAATTGCCATATACATATGTACACATTTACATGTAATTTGTAAAAATGGGTCTCTGTTATTATATTTAAGTTTTTTTATAGTATAAACCTTTATATAATACTGCATTACTATGTGTTCTACACAAATTGTACATGAAACTATAGGTTAACATGTTACACTACCAATGGATATAGCATCCAAAATATCACTCTATAATATGTCTCAATAAAATGCATTCCATTTGATTGTGTTTAGTATTGTGAAACCAATAACAGTAAATTCTATTATATTTTATATAACAATAAATTTTCTTGGATATCAGAGTTTACTAGGGGATTTAATACAAGTATACAGTTAGCAAGATTCCAGTTCCCGAAGCCAGGACTATTTTCCGAGGCAAAGCCAAGATCTTGTGTACCAAGATCTCATTAAAAAAAATTATTCTTCAGGAGGAGATCCAAGGTTTCAGGTGTGCCAACTTTTCAAAAGAAAATTTCTAACTTAATTTTTTTCGAGACGCAAAAAGGGGGGGGGGGGGTATCATAAGTCCCCGAATAGATAGGTGCTTCAGAAAAGGACATAGGTGCTTCAGAAAAGGACCCCTTTCCCACTATAGACCCCCGGGCCTTTTTAACTTTTTTCTCATAAATTATTTTTCTATGTCATATTTATGATATAATCCATACAATCAATTTGAAAAATTACGTAAAACAAACATTTTATAAAATTTCAATCCCACTCTTTGTATATATAAATCAAAAAAGTTGCCAACTTCGTATGCAAACCGAGAGGAACTGCCGAGGAATTTTTGTTGAATTGTGTATGAAACTACACATAGTCATAAAAATCAACAACTCATATCGTAGGTTTAATATTAATTTCATTAACCATCAACTCTCGATCTTAAAGGTTACTGCACTTCAACAGTCGTAACTGTCAATTTTCCACAATGAAGTTAGCGTTATTGAAGTGATCAAATCTTCAATGGAAGGGGGAGGATTCCTGTCTTCAAGTACTTGTGCTTGATTGCATGGGCTTACACGAAAACCCTCTTTGAGGTGCATTTGACACATTCCTCTTTCCTTCGTCATTACTGTACAGTCGATAATCATACTGAATCTTTCCTGGTCCTTTAGTTCCACATAGAATGTAATCTGTTTATATTTGAGCAATGAAAATTAAAATCATGGCTTTGCTTTATGTCAAAGACAGATATATGTAATTATTATTAAATGTACTTCTTGTTCATACTTTTTTGTGTTTCTCTCCATGTCACAGAGGCATCTTTTCTAAAAAAAAATGTTGGGGTCCTGAAAAGGGCTTTTGTAAATTAAATTATTTTATAAAAAATCATGGATGGTACCCCCCCCCCCCCTTTGAGAATTAAGATTTTTTTTTTTAGACACGATGACATCACTGAAAAAAATAAATAAATAATCATAGCCTATCATCATAGCTGATGTCATTTTCTGTTTTTGATAATTTAAGAAATCATCACTGTGAGATATATAAAATATTTTTTTATATATTGAAGAGGGGCAATATCTAAATCTTAACAAAAACCATCTTCTGTGGCCAAGGGTTTGTGATCCTTGCCCTTAGGGTTTGTAAGGAGAGTGGCGGATCAGAAACCCTTGGTTAACGAAGATAAATGATATCAGATATCGGAATGTTATATAGGTATGATAGACTAGGAACTCGGAATGTTATATAGGTATGATAGACTAGGAACTCGGAATGTTATATCTAGGTATGATAGACTAGGAACTCGGATGACGGGCGACATATAGCAATGACTCGGATGACCTGAAAATAAATGTAGTTATCAGATAATTTCCAGGAAAAAGATGATTTTGACCTTGCCTCAGAATAAGACTGCCAGTTTTTAATTCACTGAAATGATACCATCACTCAGTACCATCACTCAGTGATATTGTTTTCTTGAATCTGTGAAAATTTCAAGAATTTGTCAACGCAGAAAATATAAGAACATTCATTCGATTTATGTCAGACTTGATTAAAAAGGACAGGTTTAATTAAAGTACACCAGATAGGCTGTGTTCTGTATTCTGAAAATGCTTTAATTAGAATATACATGTAGTATACTAGTATATCTTATTAAATAAGGTCGCTTTGCAGTTCTAAGGCCTGGTGCTAACATAAGTATAATTTAATGTTTTATTACGCATCTTTAGATTATAGTTGTCGAAGCACAAGTATAATGATAGGTGTTACTTAGAATATATATATATGACATACATGTACATATAACATGTAACTTAGTCAATTCATTATCTCAGATTACGTTTTGTCAGTGTATTTTTTTTTATCGCAGAACCTAAAATTTAATTACGTTTATCTTGATGTGTAGAAACTACTAATATTTCCCACAAGCTTCAATTTTTTTTTTATTTATTTATTCTATTTTATTTCAGTATACTTATTTATTTGTTTGTTTATCTATTTATAAGGACCCTCTATATATACACTAAAGGAAACTTTTTTTGGACATTGAGAAAATAACAGTGTGTAAAGGTTTAAATACTGAACTTGTCTCTTACATTTTCAACATAAGGTACCTTTCCTGATGAACAGAAATCGCTGTTGTTTAAGTGGGCAAAATTCTTACAAATAAAGTGTTTAATCTATTCATCTTGACCAATTAAAATATTATGAATGTTTTGAGTTTATTACAAATTAAGTAATACATTGTACATTTCAATTAATTTTATTCTAGATCGAAGGGCAGATAATTTGCATAAAAATATCACAAAATCAGAACTCGCTCAAAGTTGACGTTCGGGATCGAAATTTTAAAAATAGTGACGAGAAATTGAGGGAATATTTCGTTAGTTTTGGTTTCGATTTGAGTCTGATTCAAGATTCGGATATTCAACAGTTAAATTTAGGAATGACAGATCAGAATACTTTCATTGGATACGCTGTGATTGTAAACGTTAAGTATTTTAAAGAACACAGTAGCAGAGAGGATGCTATTTCTGATCAAACGAACGCCTCGGCAGCCTTCAGACGACTTGGTTTTGAAACAAAGTTAGTGACAGAGATAGAACCAAAGGATGGTGGTGCAAGGACTGAATACGTTACTAAACGTCGATTCCAGGATGAACTGCAGAAGAGTGAGTTTTTCAGTTTTTACAGGCATCTGATTTTTTATCAACAAGTTGCAAATTATAAAGACCTAAATCAAAAAATCCATTCCCTTCTATATATAAATGCACACGGTGTGTTACACCATTTTGACTGACTCCTCCATTTCAATTAATCATAGAAACCGGATGTGCCTACCTGTTTGCGTTTAGCAGTGAATTTGAGAAATTAAAATTGGTTTGATTTATCTTCAGGTTTGGTACCTATTTTGATGGCTAATATCCTTTAAAAGAGTTGATACATTTATCATTAATGGTTCATGATTGCATACATGTATCATTACTAATAAATGAATTAATGAATACATAACATTAAGTAACATATTTCCAAAGTGGCCTATGGCGCTTCTTATCCCAATGCTTTTTAAGCTTTTATGAAGGGAAAAATGTTTACTAGTTAGAATATAGATGTTCAAAACAACTTCAGATATTTTCTAGATTTATTATGTATTTCTTTCCAACTGCAGTTTGGTCTTGACAGCACAACGGTCCATCTCCAACTGATTAACAAATAACAAGTTTAGGTGAAAACAAATTAGACACAATTGACAAAGAAACAAGTGTCATACAAAGAGATGGGATGAAATGGTGACATCTTATAGATTGACAATTAAATCAACATATCAGATAAACGGCATTGTTAACACAATTACTCGAAAGACCTTGTCATGGTCAAGGTGTGAAGATTTATAATGGGATTAACCCAGTTTTTAATAGGCGAATTGATAATTTGATATATTGAAAAAGGTTCTGATGGAATGTTAGACATTTTGCTAATAAAGGATCAGAAATCTTATGCATTTCAAGAAAATTATCACGAAAGAAAAACTACACATGGCCGTAGGAACCGGGGGGGCACGGGGGGGCCGTGCCCCCCCCCCCCCCCAATAATTTTGCCAATATACAGATTACTATAGTAAACATAGATACTATAAGCATGTGCCCCCTCAATAAAACCGCCTGATGACCTTTTTTTTTTTTTTTTTTGCTTGTCAAGGAATATTTGGTAGTTGACGACCTTTTTTTTTTTTTTTTTTTTTTTTTTTTTTGCTTGTCAGAAAATTTTTGGTAGTGCCCCCTCAACTGTCAACTGAAAAATGTTTGGCTGTGCCCCCCCCCCCCCCAAACTGAAATTGCTTCCTACGGGCCTGCTACACAACATAAAACAGTTATTAAAATGACAGTGAACAGCTCAAAATCTTGATTTTTTTTAATCACAACATGCATGATCAGAGCCTGTTTTTATGTGAATTGTGTATGAAAATTTATTGATGTGTGATCCAAGCCTGTTTTTACATGATGAATATGAAAATTTATTAACAAATTCCCATTTATTCACCACCACAGCCATAAATCATGTGAAGAATAAAGGATACAGACATTTTGCTCTGTTTATTTCCACACATGGAGGGGAGGCAAGAAGAGAAGAACATTACGTACATGAGTTGTCTTTCTATGATGGTGAAGTGTCTACTGAGGAGATACTCTTTAATCCACTGGACAGGGAATTACCACAAGTCAACAAATTTATCCTAGTTTCGGTATGTCAAGTATATTAAAAAAGTTTTCAATATCTGGTGTACATTGGGCTGAAAAATAGGGGAGGCAGGGGTACATTTTTTCTGAAATTTATGTATATTAATAGTATAAGTCAGAAATCATTGTAAGGGACAGCCCCCTCCTTAATGACATTCTTTTTTCCCCCTTAATGCAGTTTGAAGTGGACCTTTTTGTCTCTTCTAAATATAAAAATCTGCTTGCCCTTCCCAGCTTTTTTTCATTTTCTGGATCTGCCATTTTGTCAGATATCTAAAGTTATTAATACACAAGCCACAGAGTTTTAATGTATGCACTGCTGCAGAGTATCCATTGTTGTGTTTGTTTTGGATTCATTAGGCCTGTCGAGTTCGGGATGGTTTTGAGGATGAAGATGAGGACCTAGGTGTACAGATACAAATTGTTAAGGACCAGGATGAGGAATACCAGACTGAAGATGATGGAATTCATCACTCCCTTCCTGGTTAGAGAGTGTGAAAATTAATTCAATTCTGTAACTTGTCTCAGAATTTCAAAACTTTTAGTGATGTCTTTTCTAGATTTATCTGAATTCTATTATTTTCAAAAGAATGTAAGTTTCTCTTAATACATTAATAGTTGTATTTGATTTTTTCCTTCAGAAAACACACTTCTTCACTGCATCACACCATGTATATCAAACTGTGTCACTATGTTTGCCTCACCCTCAGGTCAGTATTCATCAGTCTTCACATGTTCTGGGGAGGGGGGACTCTCAAGCACCTGTGCCCATAATCAAACATCTGGGGCCATATAGTTTTTGGTTTGTCCATCTGTCTGTCTGTCTGGAAAAAATTTAACCTTGCTCATAAATTTTGAATAGTTGGTGCAAGGGCTTTCATATTTCAGGCATGTATTTTTTGTGTTAAGACTTTCTTTGAGTACCAATAAATTTGACCTCTGAGTTTGATCCTGGCACTGTGCAAAATTTTACAAATTTTAACCTTGGCCATAAAATATATATGGTTGCATCCTCACAGTGTCAAGGTTTTGTGATTTCGGAACTCCACACAAACCCTTGACATAAGTTGTTATTTAAAAGTTGGGTTTGTAGTTACACATGACGTAATGGGTAATTATAAACTAACCAATAGGAATGTATTTTTCAAATCTGTCATTTTCAAATGGTCCAACTCCTGCGCATATCTTTTGTTACTGTTAGGAAGACAATCTTCAAAAAATTAATCCCCGATGTTTCATTTATTGTAACTAGTCAAAAATCCTACAATATTGACACTCTCCATTTTAAAGACGAGTCATATTTGTTTACAAAACTTACCTACAGTAAAAGCTGTTTTCTGATTGGTTCCAGTCCTAGACCAGGAACAAATGAAATAGTAGCTTTCTAGCCCAACTTTTAAATAACGACTTATGTCAAGGGTTTGTGTGGAGTTCCGAAATCACAAAACCTTGACATCGTGAGGATGATATGGTTGGTGCTGTGGTTCTCATATTTCACATGTATATTCTTTGTGATAAGGCCTTTCTTTGGATACCAACATTTTCCACATTTTGAACTTGATCTCGGAGTGTAACCTACTTTTTAAATTTTTTTTTACCATACATATAATGTATATTTCTTGTGAAAAGATTTGTCCTTTGATACCCAACATTTCTTACCTTTTGACCTTGACCCTGGAATTTGATATACTTTTGAAAAACTTTTACCTTGGTCAAAGCTTTTGAATGGTTGTGCTAGGGCTTTCAAAATTTATATGTCTATTCCTTGTGACAAAAAAAAAGTTTGACTTTCTTTTGAAATTAAAATTAAAGACTTTGACCATGGCCATAACTTTTAAACGGTTGGTGCTAGGGCTCTCAAATTTCACATGTGTATTCATTTTGACAAGTCCTTTTAAAATGGATACCAATATTTTTGACCTCTTGTCCTTGACCTTGGAGTTTGATATACTTTTGGAAAACTTTAACCCTGGCCATGAGCTGCCATATAGGAGAGCATCAGTGTTTCATAAACAAATCTTATGGATTTTTATTCTTCTGCAAAAATCTTTTGATTTTTAATAAGTAAATACATATTGAATATTTTAATGATTGATAATTTTTCCTTTTTATAGGAAAGTCATCATACCGTTGTCATTTGGCCAACTTATTTTGGGATAGAGTAAAGTTACTGAGTGATGGAACTCGAGTGAATTTATTGGATTTATTAAGAGATATCAACAGACTATTTTCAGAGAGGGAGATATCGATGGATGATGTACGTGAAGGCTGCCTCATTAGTTATGATGTTTGCAATGTTGGAAGTATTTGTCACCGTCTCACTGCACCAATACACTACACTGTAGTTAAAAACTAGTAAGAATTTATGCTGCAGTTATACAGTTTGCTTTGAAGGGACTGATGGATGCTCCATTCTGACAAAGTTGAGTGAAAAACTTCCTGACAAACTGATTACTTGTTGCCTAGAAATAGTCACCAACAAAATCTGACTGAACAAAATTTGGGAATGCACCTCCCGGTATTATGTGAGCAGATGAGAAAAAAAGAATAGGAAGTGTTGGCAACTAAGAGGGTTGAATGATACTTATTTTTTGCATATTAGTTCGTAAGAATTCATTACCTTTCTGATAAACTCTTTCTGTAGCTCAAAAATGAATAAACCAGCCATAAAGTAAATCAAATAAAACCATGTAACTGACCCTCTAGTCACAGATACAGCACATGTATAAATATAAAACAGGTGCGTAGCCAGAATTGAAATGATGTGTACGCACAGAACGGCAGGGGGTTGGGTGGGGGTCTTGAGCCCCCCCCCCCCCCCTTCAGTGTTTAAGGGCTCTGGTCAGGCACTATTATAGTTTTTGCCAGCCAGGAAAAAATTACAACTTTAAAAATTTTGACAAGCAAGGACGAAAAAGGAAGATTGTCAAAATTTGAAGTCCTATTTCTTGTGTGTATGTTGAAGGGGGGGGGGTCCAACTTTCACAAATCAATTTTTTTTTATTAACACATTACCAAATTACCATGATTTAGCAATAGTACAACAAACAGTGGGGGTCCACCCTTTCAAATTACCATGATTTAGCAATGGTACAACAAACAGTGGGGGTCCACCCTTTCAACGTTCATTTTCAAAAGTAAAAGGTTAGGTTTTGGGAATAAGTTGGGGGTGGGGGCTTCCCTGATACTACGTGGCTACAGCTGGTGAGGGCCCAGAAGCTCCGGAGTTTTACCAAATATTTCATTCATTTTCTTGAAATATAAAAAATATGCCATTAGTTTTTGTTTAGGAAATAAAAGACATAGTAATATTTATTGTTTTAACGAAAATTAATATTTCATGGAAACTTATTGTACATATAATTGAGGCTAAAAATTTAACCGATATATATATTAATTGGTATCATATAATCTTTCTTCACGTTTAAAAACGCGTATACAAAATATTAATTATGAACAAAAAAAAAATTGTATTGTAAATCATACTAGAAGATCATAGCATTCAACGATGTGACTGAAATTTAATTTTTCAAAGATCTTTAAAAAAAAATATCGATGTACGATAGAAAAATGACAAAATAATGAATGATTTATTTGGGTTTTTCAGTTATCAAATAAAAGATTTCAAATTTTATCATAGAGCCATGATATTATAAAATTTAAATCGACACAGTTTGACACAGAATAATTTGAAACAGGAATATTTGTTGGATGGTACTGAGATTTCTTTCTCCGAATAATTCTCTCTTTTTTTTCATTTCTTTTTTTTCTGAAAATGATGTGTACGCACTTGCGTATAGGCAGCTACGCGCCTGTAAAAAATTAATTTTCTCTTCTTCAAAAGTTATGACCAAGGTTAAAGTTTTTTGCTATGGTAGACAGACTGATGGACGAATGGGATTTATGTCCATATGCTTTTGCAAAAACAGAAGAAAATAACTCCCAACCAGTGGTGTGTTACTTTCAATTTTACCATTTGAATATTATATCATTACATGTGTACTGTTTCATGTTACTACATTTATTAATATTTGTCTCAATACAAGTGTTTTTTTTTTTTGTTTTTTTGTTTTTTTTTTTTGCATAAACTCACATTTTTTTACTTAAAAATAAATCATGAATAAATATATATATAGAATTCATTTATTTGTAGTGCTCATATATACATTCATTTTTATGTTTATAATAAATATTAAATGAGTAATAAAATGTTCCATTTAAAACTAACTTTTTCTCCTCTTTTTAATTATGGAAAAAAATAGATTTGCTATATGAAATGAGCATAACTAAAATTAAAATATATAACCCCTTTGTAAATATTTCCCTTCATTGATAAAAAAAAATCCATACTTTAATAGTATCGTTATTATTAAGTGTGGAAATTTTTTTCTATCAATGAAAAAATATTTAATATCGATTCTCTGTAAGGACCAAAAATGCTTGGCCACGCACTATCATAGAATTTTATTTTATCACTATAATATTAGAGAGTGCCCTATATAAAGACTATTGGTGGGTAAATTTTGGACAGTACCTCCTTGGTTTCCATAGCAACGACTTTGAAATATTTTGTTATGGCAAAACTGACCTGATTGTCATCACTATGTAAAATAATTCCGTGCTTCCTTAATGTAGGAAAGTTATCAACATAACATGGGTTTCATTTTATAGCTAAGTAATTAAAGTTTCTGTGCATCTAAATTTTATTCAATTCAACCCAAGGTTTTTAATATGATACAGATCAATTTACATGAATTTGTCATAAAAATGAATACAAAGGTGCCTATTTCTTGATATGCGTATTAATTTTTGCAGGCAATTGAAACTTAGAAAAAAGATATTTTCAGTAAGATCGAGCTTAGATCTAAAAGATGCAAAAAGATTTGAGGTGGGGAAATCAGTTAAAAGTCATATTCCAATCTCCTCAAATTATAACTTTTCCTAAAAATTAACCTAGAGTTATTTCCCTTTGCTGACTCTTTTGCACTGAAGACAAAAAATTAAACTGGTGTTATTTCCCTTTGTTGACTTTCCTGTATTGAAGTCTAAAGAAGTTTATGACAACATGTGGCAAAAACAGACGCCAGAAAAATAACCATGAAACAATAACAGAAAAATGATGTGTTTTTCAACTTTTTAAAATGGAATTTAGGTGTGAATGACAAAGTAAGTCATCAAAAGAAGGAGACACTGCTCTCTCAGCATTCAACTTGATAATGAAGTATAGGTCTTTATTAATCAATCAATTCAATTCAATTTATTGATTCACCAAACATGTTGGCATACAACCACGTTACAAACAAAATGAAAAATACAGTGTGTTTTCAGATTACTAAAACATATACTAAAGTACATACATACATGCAAGTGTACAAATCAGTGAAGTCAACTACTTTTACAACTTGAAGTTATACATAATCATTATGCAAATAGTATAAACAGTATAATATGGACAGAGATAAACTAATTAATGCATTAAATATATATTATTGTGCTCTATTTTTAGAACGCAATTCAAAACATTCATGTAAAAATTCGCATAGCCTTCTAGAATGAACTGCATTGTCAGGATTACAAAGTACTGTCACGTTGTTCTTTTGGGGTTATACGTGAACTTGTTATATATATATTAATTTGGGGAATCACTCGCTTTGTAAATTCTTTACTCCGTATTTGGATTTGCTCTACTCGTGGGCAGTATTTGGTCTGTCCTCTACGGTGGCTGTAAATATCCAAAGAATAAAGAAAATATATTTTTAAATTAACTGAAGTTTATTTCTCGGAATCGTCGATGAAAGTGTAATGTAATGCTTATAAACAAACAGTCACCAGTTACACAATTAATTCAAAATATTATAAAAATACGTTTTAAAGTTAGATCAGGTGACTGTACAGAGGGTTAAACAATTTGAGAAAAATCCCTCTGTGACGTGACATTTTAACACAACGTAGATACCAAAAATAAACCTAAACTACACATCAGTACAGCTGACAGTCTCAAGGTTCTAATTCATACACAGAGAAAATTCGAAACGATCCTTATCAACGCTACACGCATCTCTTGACTTTGATCAATAAAGAACTAAAATTACAAATAGACTGAACTAGAAAGTATTTAAATCTAACATTAATCTTAACAATCAAAAGCTTGTTTACTTACGATTTTAACTCTAAAGTCATTTTACTTTTCCAGCGTTTTTAAACATAAACAAATAACATTTTTACCTCCTTACATTAAAGAACGCAAAATGAATATAATGGCGCTAAATTACAAATAACTTTTCTAAGAACAATGCACTTTACTTGAGACTGTCGCTAAACCCATTTATTACAATAAAACATGCAACTATAAACTATAAAAGACTAAATGAGGTCACTATGCATAAAGATTATGCAACAATAAAATCTTTAAAGGAAACTTAATTCAAAGCTCAAATTTAGAAAAAAAAGAAATAAATAAAAATACTTAATCAATAGAATACTTAATATTTTTCAAAATTATTTATGAAATAGACAGAATTGCTTTGATGGAAAATGAATCAATTAACTGAAAAATATATGATTTACATACCTGTAAATATCCAAAGAATAAAGAAAATATATTTTTAATTAACTGAAGTTTATTTCTCGGAATCGTCGATGAAAGTGACCGAGCTAGGGTGCATTTTCACCTACGATTCCGCGTCTTTGGATTACAGGATTTCAGCCAATCAAAATTTAGTATTTCTTTAGTGAATAGCCAAAAGTTGTGAAAATTTTCCGAATAAAGAATATTAATTAAACGGAGTGATCATGTGACATAAAAAATGACCGCCACATTAATTGAGTAAATTTGAACACCTGTGCTTGACCTCAGACCCTAAGGCCTTCTTAACCAAAAAGACAAAATCACAAAAGAGATTAACACTATTACGTAATTATTTGATTATCATGCTTATTGAACATCTGACTCTAAAAGCTCATAGGAAAATTATTTACTAAAATACAATAGGAATCCATTAGTTGGACATGTCAATGTTTGTAAAAGAAAGTCTTTTTTTTCACCCGTACAAAAACTGTTTTACATTGAATAAAGAAGAAAATCTTGGGTGACAAATTGAATTCTTTCACTGTAACAATACATGTATTTTGTGCTAAATTCTGACACTAAATACTCAAACACAATTTATATTTTTCTCCATAAAAGTTACTTTTTAAAAATACATATCTTTCCAAAAGTACTACATTCTCAAAACAAAAGATGAATTTATTATAATATTGCATTATATACAATGTATCTGTCTTCCCACAAATTTTTATTAAAATAGAAAATTTGGTGTTATAAATTTTCTATTTTAATAAAAATTTGTGGGAAGACAGTACTTTACAATGATTTTCCTTCAACATGTTATCATTTAAATTATAGATGTTCAAAGGGTAATACTTTTTTTCGCAAATCTTTATATATAGGGCAGTCATATATGAAATGTATTTCATTTTCTACAACATTTTTACAATAGTGACAAAAACGAGATTCTTTTGGGATACAAGGCTTTGAATATCTGCCAATTTCAATTTCTAATTAATAATAGATTTTTAAAGTCAAATTCACTTTGCGAAATATTGAAACAAATTTTATGAAGTCTGACTTGTATTCCCATCATGTGGGATTCCATGTACTCTCTAAAACCCATGAGAAAAATGTAAGATGCAATTGGAGGAATACAACAAGCAGAAGATACGGCAGTCAGTGGGAATGGTTAGAACAACCCTAGGCACAGGTATAAATTTGAATTTTTTCAAATATTCATTTTGTATAAAAACTACATGTAAGAAGCTTTTTCAATTAAATTGACATAATTTTTAAATCAAATATTTATTTTTATATAATGGACTTAATTGGTCTATATTCAGAGATCACCATGTTAGCAGGACATTCCATATATACATCTTAGTAATATATTTGCATTATAGGAATTTTTGCCTGCTTCAGAAAGCAACTTACTCTGGCAAATCATAACTACAAAGTTTATCAAAAGGAGAAGAATGTTATAGAAGATGTAAGTATGTATGTAATGAAAAATATACACAAGGCAATTTAATATTTAAAAAAAACATATATTTTTGGTAATGTTGTACACAGTGGCGGATCCAGGAATCTTGAAAGGGGGGGGGGCAGTTTGGTGTCGGGGTAGGGGCTCAAGGCCACACCAAAAATTGATTTATTAAATCTGATGTATATTTTGGACAAAAAAGGGGGGGGGGCTGGGCCCCCCTCTAAAACCGCCAGTGGTACAGTTTAAAATCTGATTTGGCCAAAAAAGTAGTACCGGTAGGTGGTGGGTAAAAATTAGAGATGGTCGACTTAACGGAAACACATATTAAAATTTTTTTTAGCCTAAAAAGAAGTCATATAATTCAGATTCACTGTAAACAAACAAAACATATTTAACTGTATTCTCTATTGAGAAGTTGATGGCTCGTTTTAATACTCCCCCTGCGGAGGAGAATTAAAACGAGCCATCAGCTTCTCAATAGAGAATAATTTAACTGCAACTATAAATACACACTAATAAGATATAAATATAATATACCCATGTAAATGTATGTATTCATGATTGACAATAAGAATGAATTTCTTTAATTGAAAAAAAATATTTTAAACATATTTTAGATGCACTGGTGCTTTGAAAAAAAGAAGATGAAAAGATACCGGTACATAAAGAGAACCTTTATTCTTGCGTTTTTATCATCTTTATTTCAACACAAAGGCCAAATACCAGAAGCAGGAGACAGTTACAAAATTAACTAATGGAGAAAAAAACCTTGCAATTGACCGTGAGAACTGAACATCGGACAGTATCTTAACTGAACAATATTCTTTTGGAGAAGATTCTGTTAGAGTATGGGGACAGCTTTTGGAGTAGGTGATGGTAAATTGTTTCCGTTACTTTTACCTTGCAATTGGCTACACTGAAAATACTGTATGTGTACATAAATTGGCATATTCAAAATCACTGGGTATGGAGTGGTTGGCGTAATCATGAATTAGCGCTACATACGTCTGCGCCATGTATTGTATTTATTAATGGTTTATTTACGGTATTCATTAATTAGCAAATTGTTGTCTGCGTTTTTTTTAATAAAATATATTTTTATGACACATTCACAAGGTATAACAATTGAAAAATCCAAAATATAATTTGAAACTAACCTTTTATAAAATTCATACTTTCTGATACTAAAAGTTCTCTTTTAGTATCCAAGAGTATGAATTTTTATAAAAATAAATAAAACAATGAACTTCATGTGTATAAACTATAAAAGAAGATGGATTAACTGGAACCAGATATTTGAAAACATAAACATATAGATAAATTTATGTCATCTACATTATTATTTTACTATATCTTGTGTATTCATATTTTTTTTTATTTCATGTTTATTCCTAAAAATCTGTATGTAAGCTTTCCAGCCGTGGTGTGTCTGTGTTTGTGTATGTGTATGTATGTTTGTTTATGTCTAAAGTCAACTAAAAAAAAAAACTTTGTGAATGTGTCATAGAAAAGTATTTTATTTAAAAAAAAAGTCGGGGAGAACCCTTGGGGTATGGAACGCAGGGGGGGGGGGGGGAGGGTCCCCAAGCACCTGTGATAGGAAGCCTGCTTTTTAAAGTACACATGCAGGAATTCTGAGGCAATTTATTTGGAGGTGTAAATACTAACTACTAGCTTAGTATTATATACATTTTAATAAAAATAGATATGCTTATATACTTGTATTTGTAATCACATGAAAAATGTAGTAGATATTAAACAATTGATTTTTAATTAAAGTACATGTATGTTTTTTATTCCAGGGGAAAAGATGAAGATGATTATTTCAAGTTTCACTTTTCAAACCCATTTAAAATTCTTCTTGACTGGTCAGACACAACACCACATAATGGCCAACCTCTGATGTAAAGAGAAATCATGGAAACATCAAGCCTAGCTGTTTCTATTGCCTACAAAATTGCTATATAGCAGTTATTTTCTACATTTTGTTTATCTCTAAATACACATTTTGGATAATGTTTAGTTGTAGATTTTTGCTTGATTAATAATTTGAAAAAAAAAACTGTTTTTAAAAGTAACGATAAAATTATACATATACACATGAAAATGTGTATGTTTTCTGATTGTAAGAATATACATTTATGGTTTTATTTTTAATGGGGTGTTAATTTATGGTAAGTCTAAATACTTCTAAATTTCTTTATCCAAATAAAATTGATATCTAAAGATTTGCATCTGGGAACAAGCAAAATTTAAATGAAGGAAATTAACATTAGCTTATCAAATTTCAAACCTGCTAAATTAATATCTACCTACCTATGCATGAAAAAGTAATTATTTTTTGTTTATTTATTTATTTATTTATTCATTTTTTTTTTGGTTGAAAAGTATCATTAGAGTTTTTATCCATTATCTTTTTCCATTATTTATCTAGTATTTGAAAATGTTGTTTACTGAAATAAGTTCCAGTGAAAAGTTAAATAGCTAATTTTCTTTAGGTTTGAGTTACCTGCCCTTTGTAAAGGATCATAGAGAAACAATAATAATTCATTTAATTTTGTTTTATCTTATTTATTATCTTTAATAATATTTACTTATCATTCCGTTTGTCTTATCTATTCGTGAGAAAAATGTTTGGAAAAGAAATTTTATAAAACAACCAGTGTCTAGTAACATTTTGAAAAAAATATTATTTGGCAAAATGCCAATTTTCGAAGTTAAAAATATCGAAAACGAAAAAAATCCCCACTCTACTTTTCATAAAAGTTAACTAATATTATTATAGTGTTTCTAAAATTACAGGTGATTTTTTCTTGAATTGCCTGCATTTCTTGAAAGACTTCTTGAAATATAGGGTAAAAACGACCATTTTCAAAATGTAAGAATTTGGTCATCTTTGAGCCATCAATTGAAGAATTTACAGTGACTTGTAGAATTTTTTTTTATTGTGTTATATAGTGCTTCATTTGTTCTATTCATATAATGTA